TAGTAGTGGAACCCTTTTCTTAAATGAAGCTGTACAGAACCCCAGAGAACAAAGAGTTTCTGTTTAAGCAGGCGCCTACTCAGACCTGGCCATGCTTCTCCTTCCCGGGATCTCCATCGCCCCCCTCTGGTTGTCGTGGAGTTGACCGTTGCTGAGTGAGTTCCCTCAAACTCTGGATTTAGGACTGTGTTTGTGTCCCAGGATTAACTAGAGTTACTGTGAAGACAATCTGCTTATTTGAAAAGACAGAGTCAGAAATCTGGTGGTATTGGGCTGGTGTTCAGGATTACTGGTTCATGCAGATATAAGTACAGAAATTTTACAGCAATTTAGTATTGCCATGCCATCCAACCTAGATGGATTAGGAGCAAAAGTATCAGCCCATAATATCTTAGAAATTAAAAGAAAATCTGTTCAACACCAGTGGTTCCAAAGCACTACTGATGAATAAATACTTCCTTATGTGGAACTGTGATTTTCTTCCAAGTGACTGCAGACATGAGTTAATCCCTGGATGCACCCAGGATTACTATAACATCAATTAATTTGATTTCTAAAGGAGCTTTATGGGAGATTTGTTGAACTACAATGAGTAATGACAGATTTTTAAAAAATATAATCATTTTATCCATTCATCCCTTTAGTAGGTCTTTGATTCAATAAATATTTATTGATTGCCTATCATGTGTCTGGTAAGTAAGAGAAACCCAATTCCTGGCCATATAAAGTAACCAGGCAACAGCAATATGGCACACATAGGTTTAAAATATGGGCAGTCGAAGCTGCTCTGTGAGCACCCATGCGAGGGCAAAGTCTCTAAGCCTGAAAATAAATAGCTCTTCAAAGTTAGTAATTGACAAACTTCCTGGAAAAAATACTGTGCCTCTCCTCACATATTGTAATGCAAATATTTTTTGAGTGCTTATGCTGTACTCATGCTGTACTGTGTACTGTTTTAGGCATAGTCAATATATTTATGGTTAAAATAGACACGATTTCTGCCATCCAGGGCTTATGATCTAGTTCAAAGAAACCAATAAATGAACAAGAGATGTCTAGGACTGTGGAGCTCCAGGAGGAAACAGCGGGGCGCTGTTGTTAGTGTGTGGGTGAACATATTGCACAGGTTTCCGAGAGGAGACCTGTCTTAGGAGACGCTGAACTATGACCCAAAGGACACAAAGAAGATAAACTGAGATTAGTGGGGGAGGAGGTAGGAAAAGTTTGGCCCAGCCGGGAGAGGCAAGTTCGTAGGTACAGTCTTAGTCCGGTTTGTGCTCCTATAACATCACAGACCCAATATTACATAAACAAATTGATTTTTTCATAGTCTGGAGGCTTGGAAACCCAAAATTTCCATCAGGTTTGTTGTCTGGGAAGACCCATTCTCCCCTTCCAGGATGGTGTCTTGATTCCTCCAGTAGGGAGGGGCATTGTTCTCTACCTAGCAGCACTGAAAAAAAAGAGAGCCCGCCTGGAAGCCCTTTAACAAAAAGCACTAAATTCACCTCTGAAAGGTCTCACTTCTAATACGATTGCTATGGCAATGCTATTTCCACCTGAGTTTCGGAAGGCACCAACGTCCATACCCAAGTGGTGGTCATGTTTATGGGTTTATGTTTCTGTTTAGATCGTCTGTTTGGCTGAAGTGGAGTAAGCAAGAGGGAGAGGCCAGAAAGGACCAGGGCAGTGGAAGCTGTGGTGAAAAGCAGGAGGAAGCACAGAACGGAGAGAGCGCAGGCTACAGAGGCACGTGATCTGATTTATGTCAAAAGAAAAAAAGAAAAAGATCCCTTTGGTTCCTGTGGATGCAGAGGAGCCTGTGTGGGAGCAGACCAATGATGAGAGGAGAGGAGGCCTGGGCAGTGATGTGGAGTAGATTATTCCGGCCGCAGTGGGGAGCAGGGAAAGCAAACTGGCTTTTGCTGGCAGCTTAAATGGAGAAGCAGAGGAAAGACAGGTGTCAAGAATGGTCCCTGGACTTTTATATGGCATAATAAGGTGCTGACAGTTAAGTGGTGAGGAGGATTGAGGTTATTCGGTACGCAAGCAGGAAGTATGTTAAATTTGAAATGCCCATCACATGTGTAGATGGTGGCTTTGCAGATTCAGGGTTAGGCAGGAGCATATACGTTAAGACTTACAGGTGCTACATAAAACCACGGGACTGGGAGCTGTCACCCTGGCAGTGATGGCAAACCTTCTAGAGCTTTCAGTGATACAAACAGCATATTGTGACATATGTGCCGTAAGTTTGCCACCACTGCCCTTGGTAGAGGGGAAGAGAAGAGAAGAGGACCAAAGTCTGACTGACCTGCTAGGAGCTAAGTTTGTGAGAGCATCTGGAGAGGCCAAGGACCCAAGGAAAGTAATTTGACTGAGTAGTTGAAAGCTATTTCAGTGTATGCCTTGCTTAGTTTAGAGCCACAGAAAAGACACGTGATCATATAGGTCTTTCACCTGGAATCGGTGATCCTAGTGGATAATGTGGTACTCTGCCCAGAGCTTTGCTGACCCCTTAGGACAGTGTGCCCAGGTGTGGCTTCACTGTTGTTCCCCTTCTTACAGCTGGTTCCTGTGTCCCTCTGCTGCCTTCAGCTGCTGGAGTCTCTCTACCTCTAGGTGGACGTGCCTTGGACCCTACCTACCCAAAAGCTGCTTAACCAATAGCTGAAGGCTAGGGAGGACTCTGAGAGCTGGTTCTCTTTCCTTGGAAGCATAGTTTAGTCTGCAGAGCTCTTCTGTGTGATCACACAGAAGCTGCCTTTTGAGGGGCCCTCCGTAGCCCTGACTTCTGTAGGCATCCTCACCTTAGCACTTTCTGTCTCTGGGCAACTTTAGATGTGCATTGCTCTTCCCTCTCCCATGCTCCATTTTGGATGGCACCTATTAGTATAGTGTAATAGTTTGCTCTTAAGTTTAAAGAGATTCAATTAAATATTAGAACATTCCCAATTTCTCAAAGCTTTTCAGCATAGTTTCCGATTTATCAGTCATCCAGTGAAAAGGATTTTGTTTTTCAATCTAAAGGCAATTATCTGTTTCTACTGATTCTGATAAATTTGTTTGCTGTTTAATTAAGTGAAACATTGGTAGAGAGCTGTCTGTATTCACTCTTCCAGTCAGGAGTGCATGCAGATCTCAAGCTGATAATTGTTAGATGATTATTTCCCGCTCACATATCCTGCTCACATATCCAGTGATGGGGATTAGCTAGGGAATAACACAGGCTGTTTAGAGGGCTTGACAGTGGTAAATGTGTGCTCCTGGCACAAGGCTGTGAGCGTTTCCACATTTCCACACGCATGCCACACTGCTGCTTCTGCATCTGCCGTCTGTAACAGTCTAAGGGTACAGTCTGAGCGGGAAGCGAGTCCAACAACAGTCGTGTATGGAATTTTCCTTCTGTCAGGGAAGAAAAAGCAGAATTGTACTGTTTTAATGTTGACTAGATTTGCATTTATTTTGAAACTTTGAGGAATGATTTAAAATCTATATACAGAAAACACTTGGATCTTTTGCTTTTGAGCACTAAATCACAGCTCCTCCACTGATCTACGTTAGACCTCCTCCTCTCCCCTCCTTGCTTTTCTTTTAGAGTAAAGCAGAGGCCAAGTCAAATTTCTACTTGAACAACTCACAGAACATGTTTTAAAGTTCATAAGTGAGTTTTTGTTTGCTTGTGCCGAGATGCATACTTGTGATAGCTTCCTTTAATGCTAAGCAGCTTTCAGCCTAAGGTCAGACATAGTAAACATTCAGTAAATGTCTACTGACCCAGTGAATCTGTGGTATTGTTGCTAGGTACAACCCGGAGGTATTCATATTATGCCTTTTCTAATTATATACAATGACGAAAGCTTTGATCATCAAAAATTATTGGAAAAGTTTAAAATTCTTAAACCTTCTTTCTACATATCACAAAATTAAATTTCTCTATCTGTTGCAGAGAAACATCCATTAAGACATTCAGTTTCTTCTAAATACCTCTGAAATACTTGGATTTTGACCATTGATTTCACAAGATGTTGAAGCATGCAATTATAAGGCCAGAATGCATGCTTTTTCATGCCTGAACTAAACCTTGAAGTCAAGCTGTGGCATTGAAACACAATTGGAAAAGCAGTTATTGCATCCAATTGAATGAAACCAATATTATGGTTAACTTTCTATTTGCTGTTATCGAAAGTATGGGTAGTATCTTTAACTTCCTTTATGTTTCTGTTCTGGAAATGAAAACAGTTGACTACAGATTGACTAAGGGGAGTAAAGCAAATAAATTTTTCTGTGTGTGTCGGTGTATCTTTCGAGTGAGGCAGAGGGAGAAATAGTATTGAGCTGTATTCCCAGGGCTGCCCAGTCTCCCTGCCAGATACTTGGTGCCATGTGAGTGGCTCTAAGTTTACCAGAAAACTTAGGACTGGGGTTAAAACACATACACATTTAAGTAGTAACTTTCAGGCTTTCTGGATTCTGGAAACATGGTAACACTTGGTGAGAGGACTCAGCAGTGAGCGCTTATTCACGAGTAGGTGGGGCTTTCTCCGAAACTCTGGCTAAGACCCATGATGAGAGAGGAACCATTGAATTGTCAGCATATAATTAAGAATATTTATTGAGAAAGGCATGTGGAGCAGCATGAAAGTGTCATTTGAACAGCAGGAATTTGTTTATAGACATCTGTTTTGGAAACCCAAAATGAATTCACTTTTTCTGACATGCAGAACCACATTTATCAGAGAAGTGGTTTAGAATATTTGAAATCAAGAATGATCCAGAAAACATAGATTCATGGGCTACTATAAACCATGACCTAAACGTATCCAAAGCCCTTTGAAGGCCAACAGTAAATGGCATTCATGTTAACACTTTTATTGTTTTATATAAATAAATCTTTTCCCCGTGTTTAAATAGATGTTCCAAGTGAATTTTATCTGTATAAAGAGTATTTTCGCTCCTGCAGCCCAGCTCACAATTTTCTTTCTGCTTTACTTTGAAAGGAATACCATGTTAATTCTAGGGCATTGATGTTTTACAATGCCTGATCAAGACAAAAAGCTGAAGACCACAGAAAAGCCGCCTGATAAAAAGCAGCAAGGAACCACCACCAGGTAACTCCTTCCTGACTCTTTTCTAATGATTAACAGAGGCGGGTGGCTATTTGAATGGATGAAATGTCTTTTTGAGAAGCTGAGTATATAGACTCTTGACAACTGCTACCCTGGGTGACAGTGTTTACTGAGTAGTCTGAAACATGCTTGTCTTTTCTACAGTTCTGGGGGAAGTTAGTGTGCGTATGTTTGTCTCTAAAAGTGGGCCTCCAGGTAGCAGCGGCCCTTGTGGGTAACGTGATCTTTTTCACCTGTGGGTTGACACTGTGCTATTCTTTTTCCTAGGGACTATTCAGATCTTAAAAGACTTCGGTGCCTTTTGAATGTCCAATCAAGCAAACAGCAGGTAGTGTTTTCAAAGAATTTATATGTTAATAAAGGAGAAGTCATGTGTTTTTGAAGGGATCAATCCATTTAACATCTTTACAGACATGCGATACCTAGTTTCTCTGTTCATCCACTCTCGCTCTTGCATCATCCAGCTGTTTCTCCTATACTTGGGCAGGGCTCTGCCAAAACTCTGGTCCTTATGCAGGCATTCCACTGAATCGCGTGATGGTGGCCAAGTGTTCCAACAACCAGCCTTCAGTCTTCTGTCAATAGACAGCAAGGTGTTCTTTGATACCCATATTTGCCTCTTCAAATCTTTAGGGAAATTGGTTTTCCTAAGGCACTGTGTACTACATTTTCATCTTCTTCCCTCCAGTGCTCTTAATCCTTCCCTGGCTCCAGCACCATTAGTGAGGTTTGCTACAAATGGTACCTCACCAAGCAGAGGGGACAGGAGTGACTTCTGACAAATTTTAATAGCATTTAAATATTTTTATTAGTTAGGGGAAGTATGGTGTCAGTGCTTTAATTTATGTCTAAATTTTTCTTTTTAGAACTTTCCCTATGTGATTTTGCAAAGTCACAGGTTTGAGACCATCCATTGAGGTTTGGGTATAACAGCAATGCTATTAATAATGACAAACTGTGAACACTTATTTAGCACTATTAACTAGTCAGCTTTTATGAGTGAGGAAACAGGGGCACAGAGAAGTTAAATGACTTTCTCAGGAGCATGCTGCCTGTTAATGGAGTATACTTCTCAGTCCAGATACTCTCTCTTTACAATGTATGCCTCTGATTCCTGAGATGTGTTTTAAATGAGTTGGAAAATTGAATCACAGTTGAAAAAAGGTTTGACTGGACATTTACTTGTTGTAAGAATTGTTCTTAAAATGCCTTTTCTCTGGGAGCCAATTTTTAAAATATTACTAATCCTCTACCTCAGGTTATCTCGCCTTTTTTACCTGTTTCAGCAGTCATTTTACCCTTTGTCTGCACACGAAACAAACAACTGCTAAACAGTTTCTGAAACAATCTCCTGGCTCCCTTCTCACAAAGCTTCGTGCATGATTGCCTTAGATCAAGTTCATTCTTTCCCGAGAGGTAAATTAAGTGACTCAGTCTACAGCTTTGGTTGTAGTTCCTATTGTTTTCTTCCCTGTGTGTCCTGCAATATAACCAAAACACCAAAGACTTCTGCCTTTTTCTTTCTGTTCTTTTCTCCAAGATTTCTTTCCTGTGAACTCTTACGTATTTCCAAGACCTATACTATCACCTGTACATGTTTTCCATGCTGGAAGTGATCTCTTTCTCTTTCCAAAGCACCTTCTTACCCCATTGTAACATTTTCTCCCTTGCTTTGAAAGTCCTGTGTATACGCCTTTCTTCCTCATGAAATTCCTCACATTTGCTACTAATGCCAGCAACTTTGACTTTTGTCTCTGGTTCACAGTATCCTCTGTGGACAGGTTTTGGGTCAGTTTTCTTAAACTGCATTGTGACTTGAGAATTAACTCACCACAGGATATGTACAAACCTGTGGCCTGGGCAAATGAAACTTCAATGGTCTTTAGTTTTTTTTTTATTTTGTTGTTATTTTAGCTCAAATTTTTAAACTTTGAAGTTCATTCCTGACTAGATTATTTTGTCTTTTCAACAACACTTCTGTGCTAACACTTCACAGGCTCAAACTTAATGATTTTTCTCTCCTCTAACCAACTTAGGAATTTGCAATCTGTTGTCTGACAAGTTCACATGGCATACCTTTCTGTGAACTATTTCACACATACGAGAAAGCATATTTGTAATGCCTGAATTATTCAGAAAGTAGATCTACGATAAAAATGAAAATAACTGTCCTCAATTGGATGAAGGATCCCACACTTTATTCCTGTTTCTGTTTGTAAAGCTTTATGCATTTGTAATTCTGAAATAAAGTTACTCTGAACACCCTATTATGCAATAATATGGAGACATTTGTAAGGGGAGAATGATTCTGGAAATAGTAACTCAAGAATTTATTTATACTTTGCTTGTTCCAGCAAGACTATAAAGAGTAATGATATATAAACTGTGACAGGTGTCATAAATTAAAAGTGAAGCCAAAGATAAAAGGAAAAGAAGGCTGGGAACAAAGTAGAATGGGGGTCAGGCAAAAATGCCCCACAAAACACACAAGTGGGTGAGTCACATATTTGGTTCTGGAATTTACAGCAGTTGGTTTGAAAAGGAATTTGGGATTAAGACCTGCTCACCTGAGTTTGTGCTCTAACAAGATGTAGCTTGCTTTTTGCAAATGGGAAGATGGCCAGTTGCTGGTTTTAGAGGAAATCTCTTGGGTTAGTTTAGGCCAAATTGCAGAGAACTGAATGTCCTTCCTTTGAGTCTCTAATGAGCCAGAGCCCTCTTCCCTCACTGCTGTCTGGTGTTGCTCTCCTTGCAGTCTGTGTCCTGACTGTGTGCTTGTGTGTGTCATATCTTGCTTTAGCATACTAGCATCTGACGTAGGACATTCTCAGAGTCTGACGGACCTGGGAGTAGAGATACACTGAGGCGATCCAGTTGAACCAAATAATTCAAGATAAAGAATTCTCCTACTGCTGCTGACGCAAAGTAAAAGTACAGACTCTGTTTGGAAATTTCATCTGAGGTTTTTAGAAATCTTGAGGTATTCTGCCTAGAGCTAGAAGTCATATCCCGCTCCCCCCCCCCCCCACTGTAGGAACAAGAAATGTGTTTGTAATGTTTAAAAAGATGGAAAAAAAAAAACAAACTGCCTTGGAATGAAAAAGAGGTTTTGGTGGATGTTGTGATAAAAAAAAAAATCTATGAGATGTGGAAGTTTTCACGCTCTGAGCAATGATGAATAGGCCCAGATCATAATGGTGCAGGGCAAACTATGGTCCTGGATAAATGATAAGATGGATGTGTGCATTGTGAGGGGAACAGCAAGCCACTCTTGGTTGAATGACACAGAAAGAGGTGGTTCTTGAAAAATGGACTAGTTTTCCCTCTGGAACGGAGATGAGGCACTCTAGGTGAAGCGAAAATAATCAAATACCTGGAGGAAGAAAATGGCAAGCACTGAAACACAAAGGCGACCGGACATTTCAGGTGGAAGTGATGATAGATGAAGACAGAAGACCGGCAGTGTCTGAAGGGACATATGGGGATTTTGTTCTTGTTCACATTAGATCAGGAATATTGGAATTTCTGAGCCGCAGTGATACAACTGAACTTTTAGGAAGGCCGTGCTCCATGCAGCTTTTTCTTCGATCCCAATTCTTTCCTTTCCACTCGTATTGTTTAAACTGCCAGGTGCCTTCTGGTTGCAAAGCTTACATATTTCTTGTCTACTTTCTACCTTGGACGATAATCTCCCTGCGATATACCGACACCTCTGTGTGCGGGCTGTCTTCTCAGTACTTTACACCACAACAAAACCCTGGTCACTAATTCTGCAGCATTTTTCTTAAGCCTGTCTATTGGCTGCAACTCCCCACCTCTGGGACTGCAAACACTCTGAAGGAAGCGATTCGTTTTTCCTGCTTACTGTGTATCCTGCATTTCAACTGTCTGATATCCCTTGTGTCTTGCTACCAAAGTGTCCAGTGCATGAACTCTTCTAGAGGCAGTTTACTAGATCGATTTGTTGACTATGGATAATGTGATCATTCATTCAGCAGCTTTGCATTTGAATATCTTCTGTATGCCATTTTCTGTGAGAGATCACAAAAACAGATGTGATCTTCAAAGTGGCCAAATTCAAGGGGAGAAGCCTGCTGTGTGGACTAGACATTGTATAATCACATCGTACCATGATACATGCTGGGAAGGAGGTGAGCGTTATGTAGCAGGGCCTGGGCGTGGACTGACCTGAGATCCGGAATGTGACGGGGTTGCAGGCCACACATGCCTGTGCTGCAGTAATTAGACAACCAGAGGGTCTGGGGCATCAGGGAGCCAAATGTTCTGGGTTCTGAACTCACGATGCTTTCACTGGAAGATGACTGGTTGCTTCAAGGCTTCATTTTAAGTTCCTGGCTTTTGTAACTGTGGCTGCCAGCTCCCATCTTATTCCCTGAGTTGCCATGTATTGATTCTCAGTACCAGCTGCCTGCTCTGCTCAAAGGTGATTGCTGCTGCCTGTAGCGGCTGCCTGCCCTCTTCTCTTCGCAGTGTGTCCTGGTCTTCTCAGCGCTGACTACCTTCGCTCTTGTAAACAGGAGTCTGTGAACTGTATCAATGCCAAGGGAGTTTGAAACTCTTTGGGACTAGAAAAATTACCTCTGATTTTTCTGTGTGTTGTGAGTTCATGTGTAACACAGGAAAATATTTTTATTACTGTGACTTCATACCTAGTATCATTTAGCTTATTAGTTTACACTTGGAAATCACCTAAGATGTCCTTATATTACAAATTATGTTTATTTAGCAAATTTATCTGCACAATGGGAATGATTACAAGGTTTTAAAAAATTTATAAAATAGAATTATGCTTCATAAATAGTAATTCACTTAACTTTCATAATAACTCTGAGTTATACACTATTATTGCCATTGTAATGATGTGGAAACCAATACACAGAAAGATTAGGCAAATTTTCTGAGATCATGATGAATTTAAACCCACAGAATCTAGGAATTTGTTATCTTAACCATTTAACATTGCTACCATCAGTACCTATGTCATGTTGGTATTAGGACTTGTAGATTGACTGAATTGAAATAGATTTTTTTTGCAGTATTGAATGTTATTGATATTTTGAGCATCCAGCTGTGTCTTTCATATGATAAAAAAAGATTTTGGTTTTTCTTTTAGCTGTTAAACAATTCCCTTATTGTAATTCATTTACGGTAAGTGAGGAATATTTTATTTTAATAAGAAAATAATGTTTTTTAGCTGGGGATTTAGCTCAGTGGCATAAGCGCCTGCTTTGCAAGCAGGCAGTCATGAGTTCAATCCCTGGTACTGATAAAAAGGAAAAAGACAAAAAAGAAAAAAAGGAAAATAATGTTTTCACATTGATTTCTGTCATATACCTCAGTGGAACAAGATACTAAGTGTAGCATATGGTAGCTTTATTTCATAATTATAAAGAATAGAGTTGATTTACTAAAAACTACATCTTTTGCTATATTATGTTTGGCTTATCTCATCTGTAATAATTATAGAACATCTTTCTTTTGTACTTTGGAAAATATATGCTTAAGTTTATGTGGTACCAGAAATACATCTCAGGGCTTTCTCAGTTATAAGTAAATATTGGCCAATGAAATAATTTAAATACTGATAACTTGACAATTTCTCATATGAGTGATTATGCAATTCATCTAATAAAGGCATAGTCAAGTTGTAGATAATTTTAAAAACTTTTATTTTCCTTATGGTGAGCACTATATTTCAATAACTTTCACAAATAGTATTAAATAATTAGGATATTCAGGCTGATACCTGTGATAGTTTTATTTACCATTACATCCTTGACACATGGTGGGCTGAGCAGCAGTCTACTTGGGAAATGCTGTTGAACAGATCAATGTGTGAGGACTTAGCTAGGGCCGTTCACGCTGCAGCCTGGATCTAGAAATTCAGTTCCACCATTGACACACAGGCAGATCCTCAAAAACCTGATTCCCAGGCCTCACCTTTGACCTGGGGAAACAGCACTGAACAAAAATAAGCAAGTTCCTGCTTGTGTGGAGGTGACATTTTAATCCAAGGGGACTGTAACTATGTAAATAACATGCAATACATAAATAACTATACATGCAAAACATAAACTCTAAGATATGACAAGTGATGTTAAATGGTATAAAGAAAAATTAATGTGAGAAAGATTAAGTAAATGCTTAACTCAAAGATGCTTACATCTTTGAAAGCCCTATGTTGACCATAGCATTACCAGTGTGTATGGGAGTTCATTCTACTGGTTCACCCCTCTGCCTTTCCCTGTGTTATTTTCTCTGTCCTGTGCTGCATTGTGATCCTCACGTACTCTGGCTTCTATTTCTGTAGCTTCCAGCCATTAACTTTGAGAGTGCCCAAAATAGCATGACGAAGTCTGAGACCGCCATCAAGGCATGCGGGCCCAGAGCTCGAGGTCAGTGGCATGAGTCCACAGAAGCTGTCGAACTTGAAAATTTTAGGTAAGAAATCTCCCTGTCCTTCAGCAGCCTGTCCTGGTTGGTCCATTTACATTTGTAACAGGTGCTACAATTTAATAACTATCTCACCGTTTACCATGGAAATTCTTAGTTCCATAATTTGGTTAGTGCTCAAATCATCCCCATAAAAATGCATAAATGACAAGCTTAATAGTCACAGGTGGAATTGAGCTGTGCTGACATAGATTTGGCATCTGTTCAATGAGGAAATGGTTCCAGGATGTTGACCTGGGTCAGCCAGTGCCAAGCTTTGTCTTAGCTTTTGGTCTGTCTGCAATTTGCTGGTAGGAAGAAGACAGAAGAGTCTGTTGCTGTGAACAGATGTGGTGGCTGACGAGTGTGGTAGTCACAACAACAGCAGTTTCCAGTTGCAAGGAGAGCAGCTCACCTTTAGCACTAAGAATGTAGGTCCATGTTTATCTTGGTTGCCAGGTAGACCTTCTAGAAGCTGTACATTCTCATGGGCCACTCCCCTTATAGGAGCTGGTTCTCTCTGTTTTAGAATGTTCCTGGGTCATCTGGCACCAATAATGAACCGGATGAAATATCAACATGAATGTTCCAGAATTATCATTTACTTGTTTAACCTAGTTTGTTACCTGTCAAATGGAAAAGGTCCAGAAATCTACATGACATTACCTGGGTTCATAGTTTTGAAATATATCTTTAATGAGAAGTACTAAATACTTTTCCTTACATACTCAGCTCACCAGTAACCATGTACTAGGAAACCTTTACAGCCCTCACCTGGGTAGGAAGGAATTTGCAGGATAAACAGCATCCAAAAGCTAACAAAGGCAGATGGTTACCTATGATGACATAAGGTTGCAAACCTTGCCTTTGAGGTGGTAAACTCATGCAATTCTAGTTTATTTGTCCTCGGTCTTAAAATCAGTTTATTTTAACAGACACAAAAGTATGATAGATTCCATAAAATGTGATCATTTTGTGCATTTTCTTTTATACCTTCTGGCTTTGAAAGGGGATGTCTCAATAGACTTTTTAAATCTCTTTGGTAGGATGTGATATCAACAAAAAGAAGCTAAAATTGAAATATCTCCAAGCTTTATTAAATATACACAAAAGATAGACAATCAACAATCAGCAATCAGCATAGCTGAAGGAGTGCAGACTGGATAAATGAAGCATTCAGTACAACTGGAAGAATGTGAACTATCAATCAAGCCCCATTATCTAGTAGGAAATGCAGGCAACAGTCAGTGATTTAATATCTAGAGCAAACAGTGGGGTTGAGGGTGAGTGGAAAAGAAGGGAGAGAATTCTCCTGTTTGTTGCACAGCTGAATAGTAACAACCCTAGACATTCTTTCTCTCTGAGTGTCCTCCCCTCCAACCAATTTTAGGTGGTAAATGTTTAAAGGTAATATCTTAACTACCATGATAAGATAAAACACATATTTGACTGTAAAATTTATTGTTTACAATTGAATTTCTAGTTTAACAGCTGATACTTGCATTTAGCAATATGTTGAGCCTCAAAACTCCCAACAGTGTCCGTCCAATTGGTAACATTAAGATAGCCTTAATCAATTTTTTTTGCAAAAACACTTTTCTCTTTGTTTTATCCCAGTATAAACTACAAGAATGAGAGGAATTTCAGCAGACATCCCCAGCATAAATTGTTTCAGGAGATCTTTACAGCTTTGGTGAAAAACAGACTCATATGCAGGTAAGAGTATCCTTAGAAAGCAGACTTTTACCCAAGAATGACATATTTTAATGTCTCACGTGTGGAATATGATGTAAAGCAATTTACTACATTGTCCAAAATGTAAATTAAAGGATAAAATAGAAGAAAGGCTATTTACAAGGGGGAGAATGGATGGGCATTGCATTTGATCTCTAAAATAACTGATTGGTGTTGAATTTAGATAAGTTTGTTGACAAGTAATGTAAAGTAGGAAAATGCTCAAGTTTCACTGTTTTTCTTAATGTTATTTTGAGTAGGGATACTCAAGAAGGAGTTTATTGTGTGGGTCCTTATGAAAGAGACACTGGGTAATACTACAGACCACTGTTGGTATACTTTCAGGGTTAACGTGATAACAAAACAAATGGACTGCCCCAGCCTTGGCCTTAGGGAAAGGAAAGATGAGTGTGGGACATCAGCCACAGCCTTCTGAAGATGTCTCTTCTCAGGACCACGTCACATGTTATTCTCTTTGCTCTGTGACTTGCTTTAACACATTTGGGACTTCAGAGGAAGGGTTAATTAATATGCATTCCAGATCCATATATTGCATCTATTGGGAGCCTTCAGGTGCTGGAGTGCAGTCAGGATTTAATTTTTTTATCAATCCTAAGAGGCTTCACTTGGGAGCTGGGTGTGCTCCTGCTACATATGAAGGAGGCTCCCATCATAGGAATTTGCCTTTCGCTCTTTCCAAGATGCACAGGCTCCCTCCCAGAGGGAGGCATCAACTGTGAAGATGCCAATAAAGAAATTAAAATCTTAGTCCTTTGGGACTTGAGTTATCTGAATTCTGTCTTAGTGAGGAAGAAAAACTATTCCTATTATGAAAAATAAAAGTAGGAATGTTAATCTTTTAACACCTGAACCAAAATAGCACCCTGACTTTTCCCAGTGTGATAGCTGATTTTAAACAGAAGAACTTCCTAATGGATCCTCCACCGAGTGTCCAGTGCTACATGCCTGCCTGAGTGGTGGCCTGATGACTTGATCTTTTGAGTGGGGTCACTTGATTCTGTACACATATTGCCAAATACACTGGTTTACTTTAAAATAATACAGGACAGGAGCACCATTTGTCATGCTTTTATAGTTGGCTTAAGCTAACAATTATTAGGTTGGCCCAGATGATAGAAAAAATCTCAAATCTTTTCCCAAGTGTGATTGGGTTCTTGATGATACACATAAAGATCATTGAAAGATTATGGAACATTGCAAACTGAAGCTGTCCATGATTGTAGAATAATGATTAGTAGCAGAATAACTATCTGTGAAATATTAGGAAATAAACTTTTTAAATTTTTTTGAGGCAACTACCATGGACTCTTTAAAGAATCTCCAGTAGGACAGTTGTCATTGTTAGATTGGTACCTTGGGGAAGAACCTAGATGCAAAAATCGTTAAGGAAAATAACTTGCCAAGGGTTGGCCTTAAAAATAATCTTAACAATTCTGAAGCTAAGAGATCTTTTATCCTAAGTGATTCATGGGACATCTTAGGTCGGATAGAATTGCCTTTTTGTAATATGAGCAGTCCCTGGAAATTTTCAAACTAGGAAGAGAGAATTGTAAGCCTTGTTGCTTTCATCATAGAAGAAGGAAATTAGGAATGCCAAGCATCAGAAGCATCCTTCTCATCTTTTGGCTGCCGACTGATTGCTATGTTCACTTCTATTCTAAAAGCAGGACTGGATAGAAGCTAAGAATAAAGGTCTTCCATTGTCCCTCACCTCGTATAACCCTGCTGAGATGGCTTCACTATCTTTTATTTTCCTTATGACTTTAAACTTATAGGAGAGCCACAATGACTCAGGGCTTTTTTCTGAGGTGGCTTCCAATCCCTTTTCTTTGTGAAGATTAGATTTAGTGTTGAATAGATGCTTAACTTCAATTTCTTAAAGCAACAGGAGCTACTATGTTCAAGGAAGGGAGAAAACAGAGGACAAGGACAAGAAAAAAGCCCTTTTTTCTGAGGTGGCTTCCAATCCCTTTTCTTTGTGAAGATTAGATTTAGTGTTGAATAGATGCTTAACTTCAATTTCTTAAAGCAACAGGAGCTACTATGTTCAAGGAAGGGAGAAAACAGAGGACAAGGACAAGAGGGTGAAAATACAAGGCGATAGGACATATGGTCCCTTTCTGCCTGAAGACTCATAGTCTGCTTAGACCAGCAAGTAGGTTACCCAGGATCCCACTAAAAGAGAAAAAGTGGGGACTATGTACAATTTGTATTAAGACAATGAAAGGCTGGATGGATTTTTTTGGGAAGCGGGTCTTTGGTTCTTAGTCCAGTTCCTGTGGTAGACGAGACTGGCAATGTGTAGGGTATTATGATGCTTGCTTACCCTAAGAGTGTGGCTGACTTAAAACATAGACTCGTACACAAACTGTGAGCCATTCCAGTTTCTTCCTCAATTTCTGCTATCTGATGGGGAGGTTATTGTTTCTCTTCTATTTTGTCCTCCCCAGCTGGCATCTTCCTCTCATCCATACTTTTGGACACCTCCTTCTAGGTTCTTTCTGATGACTGGCCTGTGATTCCCTCCTCTCCCCCCATTCTCAGGGAAACTGTCAGGTGGCAACTGAAACTAGACAGACTTGTTAATCCAGAGTCAGATAAGGTAACACTGCAAATGCCTCATGGTAAATCTGAAAGGGCAAGGGAAAATACTGTCCCTAAACCTAAGGTTACACAATGCTGACTAATCTTGATGTGCGGCAGGATATGAAGCATATTTAATCCTTCAGGGTTTCTTTTGGTCAAATAATGTCCACAGTAGAATCTGATGTTAGAAAATAAATTCACCCCTTTGCATCTCATCTGGCTGAATGGAAAAATAAAGCATGCTTAGCATTCAAGGCAAGATTGGTAGAAGGTTGAATAGGGAAGTAAAATGTGCCACATCACTGAGATATTCTCTAATACCTGAGCACTTACACCACTGAACTCTACTTACGTCTCTTCTGTGTAACTGCTTCTCTGCACTCTATTTTGACTGACTTAAAGATTCTGTAACAGAACGAAAATGTAATTTACCTTGTGAAGTCAACTTGCATATCTGGCCAAAAATTACAGAGTTTCATGAAGTTATTGAAAGTGATGTCACCCTGGGCTACATAGTGAGTTCAAGACTATTCTAAACTATGAAGTGAGACTCTGTCTTAAGAAAATAATTTAGAAAGTAACATCTCTAAACTAGGACTTTTGATTTTTCTCTCAACCTATGAGAAAATCTTGACTTTTTAAAAATCTTTTTTGGATTACTGCATATTATTTATATAGAATATTGGGTTTCACTGTGGCATTTTCATATCAGCATACAGATCCTTTAGTCATATGTATCAAAACCTCAATGTTAATCATCTTCGTCTACCAACCTAGTGCAAGCTACCATTCATCTCTTACTTATACCATTGCAGTAGGTTAACTGGTTTCTTAGTGCTGATGCTTGGTTCTCTATACTTTGCTCTTAACACTGCATCTATAAGGTTCCTTTCAAAGGCTCAGTCAAATTGTATGGGTCTTTAGTGCAAATCCTTGTAGTAGCTTCTCAGAATGAAAAAATCCAAAGTCTCTATTTCTATTCTACTTGGTTCAGTACTGTGCTAGTTCCTGCTATCATACATACTCCTAGACTTGAGAAATCCTCAGCCTCTGTTGCTCTTCCCCAATTTCCCAATTGATACACATGTTTACTTGCTTGTGTTCATGATTAAAATTTCTTAGAGTGTAATCTCCATGAGTGCAAGGATGTGGTTTTGTTCTCTGTTGCATTCCTGTACTTGGCTGCCAGGTGGTAAATAAGTATGCAGAAGTATTCTGAAATTCCTGTCAGTTATATAGAAAGTCCTTTCTGTTCATACCCTTCTGATTATAGGGGCCAGTGGGATCCACTGGGTTAAATTCTGATTGGGTGACTGCAAATTTTGGGGTCAGTTCAGTGAGTGACATAGAATGAAGACATAGTACTGTGAAACAAATCAATATGGACACTTCGAATAATCCCGTGTGATGGATTTCCTCAATAGACTAGAATCCCTGTATTTTTAAACATTGAGTCAAAGACTGGAGTGCATCTGTGTGTGTGTGTGTGTGTGTGTGTGTGTGTGTGTGTGTGTGTGTTAATGAAAACACTACTGCAACATGAGAAAGGTGCTCATTCTGAATAAGACAGAGAGAGAAGCATGTTACAAATGGAGTCTGGATTGGAAGCTTTGCCACTTGCATCAGTGCATGGATTAAGTTAATCCCACTGTACTTGGAGCTCTTGCTTATTTTGATAGCCACAACTTTATTATGCAATACTACATATTTGTGACCAATTTCCAGGTGAAGCTCTTTATCATGAACTAGTTTCTTCCACTATGCAAGAAATAGAAATCCCACCTGCCTGTTCTTTCAAATATTGCATCCATGGTGACATTTCCTGTCTTTTTTAAATATCATTAATAAAAGATGGCATCTGATGCTGACAGCAAAGTGGCAGATGGCCCCAGCCTGGACAAGGGCTGTGGGAGTGGATCACTCTGTCTTGCTTTAATAGTCCTGAACACAGTGGTGTAAGTTCAGTCACAAGAGGGGATGACTATTTGCCCGCTCATCAATTTGCTTCTGTGTGGCTGCTATATTGAGATGCACCCACTGGGGAGGTACAGACTTTGCAGACAAATGGGTTTTTAGGACCCCATGCCATTCTGCAGAGCTCTCCTGCTCCCATATCAATGTTTGGAGTCTCTTTCTCTTTGGTCGTCTTCAGGGAGACAGCAGGCGCTTGGTCTGAGCCTTAGGCCCCCAGCTCTGTTACTTTGGAAAGCTATGAGCCAGTCACACTGCTGCCCAGGCCGCAGTGGCTGGATCAGGAAAAGGAGCACGCTATCTTTCCAATCTGTCACCACTATTTGTGAGATTTTCTGGTGGCTCCATCTCGAGTATTTCCTAGGCTGCAACTCTTGGCACACGGATGTACTTATCGTCTTACAACGCCTGCCCTGGTTCCCCTTGAATCTCAGCGCTGCATCCCATGTGCCACGTCCTCATGGGGGCGGAGGGCAGTCAGCCAAGGAAGTAACAACTGTGCCTTCAGAGGTCAGTGCACACAGGGAGGAGCCCGGGACTCAGGCATTCGGAATCCTATTTACATTTACAACACCAGAGGCCAGAGCTCTGTCAAAATATTAATAGCTTTGGGTTTTAGTGCCAAAACTGCAAAAGAAACCAAAAAATGCCATTGCTTGGAACTGAACTTTCAACTTGGAACTGTAGTAGAATCCTTCATTTATTTATACTCCTTTAACAGTAAAAAGGGAAAAATAACTGGGGAATTTTTTTCTTGGGGATGAGAAAAAAGCAGGAAGGATTTTTTAACGTTTATTTTAATATGAAAAAAAATAGAGAAGATCATGGACTTTTCCCTCATTAAGGTCATCTATATCTAGTAGGAAAAATACCAAGTGTACACATACTTATAGCATGAATCATCTCTTAAAATGTCCCCTGTCTTTTCCTCTTAAATAATGAAAAGCCATCAGCATTCGCCCCTATTAGGCTCCAGCAGCTGTGTGCCACTTGATCATTCTTTCTGTTAGGACTTTGAGAAGCAATCTTTGCACTACAGTGTGGATGCCATGATATCATTGCTAACCACAGCACCTGAAAGGGAAGCTCGTCATGTGTTCTCTCCCTATTTATATAAAGATTAAAGATACTCTCCCTGTAATAGGAACCTTGGAGTAGGAACAGTTTTACAGCTGTTCCCATAGATGAAGTGTTCCCATGGCTGATTGTTTAAATTCAGAAATGTACTTCAGATTTGCCATGCAGGGAGTATACATAATGAAGTCAACATGAAGCATGGGGCCCTGGATGATGCTGCTTCGCTGGCAGCCTTGTATGTGGTTGAAGTCCTGCCTTTGTTTTCCAAAGAAACAGGGCTTTGCCCTTATGCAAAAGAGTCACTGACAAGGTGCTTGGGGAGGAGGAGCTGTGTGGACAGGAGACATGGTGATGGCCGGAGGAATAAGTCTCAGCCAAAGATGCTTTTGAGATCTCTGGTCAGCATCTCTGCACTTGTGTTTCTGCTGGGGTTATAGCTACAAAGAGCACCCCAACATTCCTGGGAATACAGGCTATAGGAAAAGCGCATCTTTCTACTTCCTTTCCATGAGCTGGAGGGAATGGTGAGGGGCTTGGCTGAGTGGGGTGGGACTGAGTGTGGTATTTCTGGTGGCAGCGACTAACGATGCTCAGCCTGCCTTCAAGAAGGGTGAGTCTGATTCACTCAGGATTCAGATGGACAGAATTAGGGAAAGAGTCACTTTTCTCAAGACTATAGAGGAGACGAGGCTGAATTCTGTCACTCAAGGCCAAGGACAGACATAGGACGAACTGGGTGAACCCGGACTTGTGTCTGCTGCTTAAGAAGTGCTTCACATGACCTTGCTGGGCACACAACCAGCTCAGCTATGGAGGTGAGAAACATTGCGATGCTAATCTGAAATAGCTTCTGTAGAATCTTTCAGTTTTCCTTGGCTAAGGGTGAAATAGCAGACACTTTCCGCTTCAGGCTTTTGTTTACATTTACACCAAGGTACCGCTTGAGTAAGGGAGCAGTAAGAGACAAGTGTCACCTGTGGATGATCACTTTCCATACAAGACACCAGGTAGCATCCTGTGGATGGCAGGGCGCAGCTTCCCTTCCACACTACCTGCACCAAACATACACTGTTGTTAGGACAGTCATGAGGTGACTGGCCTCGGGTCACCTTGAAGAACATCTTCATAACTGTTCAGGTTCCAGGGCTGAAAAGCCACAGTAGGCTGCATCAGAAGTATCTTAGGCCAAATCTCTGTTAGGAAGGTCAGCATAGTAAGGAGGGTGGGAGAAGACTAGGGAAGGAGATGTGGTCAGAGGCATAGTGAGAAAGACAGCTTGTCCATGATCTTGTGGACTGTGGTGTCAGCTTTGGCTTTTTGTTCAGATGGGAGCGTCTTCAAGGGTTTGGGTGTGAGGATAACATGAACTGATCTGGCTTTTGTGAAGGACACCATCTAGATGTGGGAAGAATAAAGCAGGGGTCAAGGTCAAAATGGATCCCAGGTAGGAGCTTTTTGCAGTTGCTCAAGCATGAGATGAAGGTAGCTTGAACTAGAGTGGTGTTAGAGGAGCTGGTGAAACATCAGAGACCAGGTGAGGGAGCAGACAGGACTTGCTGAGGAAGTGGGTGAAGGACATAAGGGAATAGAAGAAGACAAAACCCCAAGAGTTTCGGTAGTTTGGAAAACTGGTGTTTGGAAAACTGGAAGGAATCAAGTTTGTGTAGCTGTTCACAAAATCAGTTTCAGCCACGCTAATGATGAAACTGAGATTCAGGAAGTATGGGTGATAATTTCTGCCTAGGCTCTGTTGCTCTAAAACCTTGGGTACTAATGACCTTGCCAAGTGATATGAAAGGCACCTTGCATTCTGCCTGGTCTGTAGCTTAATGGCTACACCTGGGGAGCCAGCTGGAAAGCTTTCACATTGTGACAGCATTTACTACCAGCTCTAACTGGACAGAGTTCTGCTCCACGATGGAAGAAATTACTCACAGGAGCTCAATAGAACCAAGAAGGGCAGAGACTTATCTTGTTTCCTACTTCTGAGCAACCAGAGAGCTTACAAAGTCATGCAAATGAAGGAGTCTTAGTTGACTGTGGTAGTCCCCTTGGTTTAAAACATTGAGAGGTACCTGAAGAGAAACCATACCTCCTTCCTTTGATAACTCTGATATAAATCAGGGAATTAGCCAGTCAGTGCATATTTGAGCAGCCACTGGGTATAAAACCCCTTGACCTCCTCAAACTAGGACATTGTGTGGTTCTTCCAATGACACAGCAAAATTGCAACTTTCTTCGCTTTAAAGATCCTTAAAGGAATAGGATTTTTTTTTTTTTTTTACTAAAGAAACAATTTCTAATCTCTTCAATCTGTACTTGAGTGTACACTTACATATTTGATATTCGTGAAATGGCACTTTAAATAGTTCTTCAGAAATCTGATGATAATCTGAATATTGGATGTATCCTACTTTTGAAACAAAAATCCAGATTTCTCCCTTACTGAATAGGTCCAATCTCGTTCTGTCGTGCTTGCTTTTAGTAAGTACACTTCAGTTCTTGTTTTCATGTGATTTCTCCAGTGACTGCTGCTTTAATTTCAAGGGGTTGTCACTGGGCTCAGTGTGGAAATGCGATGTTGGTGCGTTGCCCAGGATCCTGAAATCTGCATCCTCTTGGTTTCCAGGCTTCCCGTGTGCCTGGGAATTTGTTGCCACCCTGCCTCCAAGTTCTTAGCCCTGCCAACAGTTTCATTAGTATGAAGGCCCGGTGTTCTGGCCTCAATGGGGGACAGCTGTGAGGGGGAACCGCCATCCGGAGTCCCAAATGTATTATTTTTTTCAAGTGAACATTAAGATGTTAGAGTTTAAGTTCTTGCTAAGTTGTACCTAACAGTTTTTGGGAATTTTTAGCTATTTCTTTTGACGTAGGGGGTGCCATGAAATAAATGAGCCAATATCAATGCTGTGAGCCAAGTAAGTCTGGAGGCCTCAGTTCCAGGTTGGTCCCTGTGGTTTGTATGTGTGCTGTACCAATGTGGGTTAAATGTGCAAGTATCGAATAACAGTACCAGTTGCAGATTAAAGTTGAAATAAACTGAGTGCTTCTCTTCTTCTTTCATGTGTCCTTTATACCCCGTCAAAGACATGGACTATTTATGAACTGTCACGCTGGCCTTTATACATGATATTCTCTTTTGCTTTTCTCTTTCAGGGAGTGGGTTAATCGAGCCCCGTCTATTCATTTTCTGAGAGTGTTAATTTGTCTGAGGCTACTAATGAGGGATCCATGTTATCAGGTCAGTTGGAAAATTATTTTTTACTTGTTACAAAGATACAATAAGCAAAAAAACCTTGTGGGCTTTTCTTTGAAGTAAACCATGTTAACTTTTCTTGTGTTTTTCATAATTCAATAGCTTCTGAATTTGGGAAATATCTCACCTGCTATTTAAGAACTGATTTAATGCATACAATAAAATATGTATACTTTTATTAAATAATATGTGAGGTTAAACGTCTTGAACCTTTGGTCTGTTTTCATTGTATTTTAAACCATTAACAATTCAAGGAGGTCTATACTTGGCCACCCCTTTCAGGTGTGCCCAAAACCAAGCAGCTGAGTAAAGTCAGCATTGACAAGCGGGGCCTCCTTATTTGGCTTCGAGGCCCCTGTGAAAAGCAGAGCTACAGCGTTAGTGGCTGCTCAGGAGTCCATCCCCTTCCTGGCCTCCAGCCTGAAACTCTGAGCTACAGGAGGACAAGAGCTTCTTATCTCAGAAGAGGGCACTGAGCCCTCAGAGAAAAGGGAGAGCCCTGTTCTCACTAGTGGGCTAAATATGCTGCCTGTCATTCAGTGCCCCTCAAACTTTATGTGCATGGGAATCACTTGTGGGATTTGTAAATGCAGATTCTGACTCAGTAGGTGTAAACTGAAGCCCAAGGTTCTTTGTCCTTAACAAATGCTGAAAGGCTGGTATTTCCAGATGTCTGTGGCTCACGCTTTGAGCTGCAGGGACTCACTGTTTAAATTGTAAGGCTCAGCGAACTAACACTTCACCTGGACTGGAAGGTGATTCTTTCCAGATAACTGCTATATATCTGGTTGCATAAAGCAGCTGTTTTCCAACTTTATTGTATATCAGAAACACCTGGAAAACTTAAATGATTGCTGTAGTCCTCTCTAGTGATCTCTGATTGGGTAATTTTGGGGTAAGGTCTGACAACTTGTATTTTTATAAATTTTCAGAGGTTGAGGAAACTGCTGATCAGGGCACCTCAGGTTGAGAAAGCTTCAAGATTGTTTTTTGGTCATTATTTTTATTTGTCAGTGTTAAAATATCTCAAGAGTGTCTTCATTATACATATGTGTTTCTGTAGTATGTATGGGTTTTTATTTCCTGTTGGGCCCTGTCCTCTGATGTCACCAGGAAGCATAGACTACACAGGTCTCTTGTTGCTATTTCAATTTTCTTTATAAATTCCTATTTAAGTCAGAATATGTTTTCTTTCATTACCCTAGTAATTATCTTTCTCAAATGTAGCACTTGAAAAAGTGTTTTGGTTCCAGCTCCCTACAGAGACTGCCCTGATTCCAATCTTCTGGGACTTGTAGTCTCTGCACAATTCTCTTTAGGGAGTCAGCCCTTTCTCCACACTTTGTTCTAGGTTGGCCTGGTGTGATTACAGGTTAGCTAACCACAACGCTTTGAGTATGTGATTCAGGGAAATTTTCCAAAGGTTTTTGGTCCTGACTGCTCAGATTTCTGTGTACACAGCATCTTTTTTGTCCATAGTGAGCCACACAGATTTGTGTATTCTGTACATTTCTGAGATGCCTTTTTGTAGTTGTATATGGGATATACATGGAATGTTTGTTTCCTTTTGCCCAGATCAGTCCGAGCATGTGCTCATTACTCCCCCTTCATGAACATTAGCACGCTGTTTTATTCTCTGATACGTCTCAGTTTAGATGAAAATACAGTATATGCAATATTCATAAAAATAATCAGGAAGCAAGTTCCTATTTCTGACTCACAAAAATTAGCAAATATTTACCCTATCCTATTTTGTTTGTTAGATATCTCCAAGACAGTGGAGTCATGGTCCACTGATCTCCCCTCTGAAGTATTGCCTTTCTCTATCCAGTCCTTGATGGGTTAGAAGAGTGTTGATTGTACCGCTCTGTAAAGGAAAGAATGCAGTGACCACTTTATGAGATTTTGCTACCGGAACACATGTTAAACTAGTATCCCCAGCTGCCTGTCTGTCTTTCTTCCCATAGAAGGGGATCCACTCTTGAGTTTCTCCTTCCTGGCATTCTTCCCACACAGAAGAACACGTGCTCAAGCAGTTGTATAACATCTTCAGTTGCCAAGAATTATTGACTGAAGTCATAAACTGTGCTGCAGTTTACTACAACTTATGGCAGTGGATTCCAGCAAGCTTTTCCTATTGATAAACACTCATTTCTTCTCTTGTAGAATCGGTAGTGTAAGGTCCATGCCATCCCCACTTCTCACACCCAAGCTCCCTTGGCTTCTGTTGTTCTTGTAGAATTATTTCATCAGCAGCCTTTGAGAAGCCCGAAGCCCTCTTGGTGGGAGCTCTCATATGCTTTCTTCTTTAAAATATTTGTATTTTCATGCAACCTTCCTTCCTTTTTTTTTTTTTTATCAGTACCGAGGATCAAACTCATGACCATGCACTTGCAAGGCAGGCACTTATGCCGCTGAGCTAAATCCCAGCCCCATCAACCTTATTTCCTTCATATTTCAGAAGTATTATTTACTCTCTTTGCCAAGGTTCATCCTTTTACTTGTTTTCTTTCTTATACCAGTGGCTCCCTTTCCATTTTATCTTTTATAAAATTATACTTTTCTTGTGTCGCTATTCATTCAGCTCTAGGGCTGGGAACTTAGCTCAGCGGCATAAGCTTCTGCCTGGCAAGCTCTGGGTTGTGAGTTTGATCCTCAGTACCAAAAACAAAACAACAATGAAAACAAATAGATGAACAGCAGCTCTATCTCCTGAATCCACTTTCTTTTCATCAGGAGTTGTGCGTTTTGCATCCACACTGAAGCCTCTGTGCAGGGCTCTCTCTGGAAGCCACTTGACCCGCACACAGTGTGCTGTGCTTTGGTTCTCGCTTCCTGATTCAGAGCTCAGAGACTGGTTTCCATACTGGAGCTCTTTGTGTAGTACACAGAAGTTTCAGTACATGTTTAGTGGATATACTAACACTGGAATTGAAGATGTGATTACTTAGCATTTTTCAGAGCTAATGGAAGACTTATGCAGTAAGATTTTAAGTGTAGTTAGAGTTCCTAGCATGGTAAATGTTCACTTGAGTTCATTATAGTGAAGCCAAGGTGCATAGCTTGTCAAAAATAAAGAGAAAATCTGTAAATCTGCAAAACTTCAATTGCATTAGTAGGCTTCCTTTAGCCTTGACATTTTCTAAGCACTTTAGTGGAGGCACCATATCACATTTTTTCTTTGTCTTCACTCACTTTGAAAGCCTCAACTTCTCATTTAGTATTTTGGGCTGTATTAGTTACTTGTTCCTTTTTAGATCTTGTCTCCCTAAATGTAAATCTTCTTTAAAATGTTATCTTCTCCATCATCGTGGCCTGTATCTTCTAAGCCACTGACTTCAGCTGACATTATTTTGTTCTTTGTTTATCAGGCCATATTTTTAGCTTCATACTTTTCATTTTAAGTTCCAAATTTCCAGAGAGACATGTCTGCCTCACAGTAGCATAGTGCTTCTCAATGTGTGGCATCTGTACCACTTAGAGGTCTTCAGGACCCTGTCAGGGGTGTAACAAAGTCAAGCCTTCCTCCAGATGACACTAAGATATTGGTTGCCCTTTGCTTCCCACTCTTGGTTCAAGTACGCAGTGGGATCCTACAGGGGCTACAGCCTGTGATGTTGTCAGGGCTCTGATGGTGCGTGGGACAGGGCTTGAGCATTCTTGTGCTTTGAAGCCTTATCGCTTTTCGTTTGTAGTATGGTAAAAATAAATAGATTTAACTTGTGCGAATGAAATCTCTTGGGGTTCTTAATAATTGTTAAGGATGTAAAAAAAAGATTCTGAGGGCAGAATTTGAGAGCCATTACTGTAGCGTATTGTACTCAATGGCTTTAAAAAATGAAGTTTCAGTTCTTTTCCTCATCCATGAACCATCAGGTACAGTTCCTTTGTCAAATTAACTTTATTGGTACCCTTTAGATGCGCATAATGACCACACTCAGCATAGGAAATTGTACCTGTGCATAATCTATCTTGAGTTTTCTTCTTCCCCAATCCCCTTTCTTCCTTCAGCCCTGCTCAAATGCAGTTCCTGATTCTTTTAATGGTACCATCTTTCCTTCAGATTCTGAGGAAGGAGACTTCAGCAATATCTTTGATTTTTCCTTTTTACTCACCCCTCTACAAGCCTGAGGATTTGTAGAACAAAATTTACTACTATACCTGAAAAGAATAGTGAAGTCCAGTCTAGGGTACGGAATGATAACATCAAGACCAGGAGGAAGGCGCTGTGGAGGCACCAGTGATTATTATTATTATTATTATTATTATTATTGTCTTTTTCGTTTTTATCGGTACCAGGGATCAAACTCACGACTGCCTGCTTGCAAGGCAGGCACTTATGCCGCTGAGCTAAATCCCCAGGCCCCGCACCAGTGATTATTAAACAGAGGGATAAATTGGTCACTTTAGCAACTCAGTGTTACTGCTCACTGTTCAGTGATTTAGTTGCTGAGTAGGTTTAGGATAAGAGCGCATAGGTGGAAATGACATTTTTCATTATGGTTAAATCATGGTGTACAAACAGTGTCCATGGTGGTACGTAAGAGCTATTTCTTATGTAGACTTTTTACTACTGTGGTTTTATTGGATAGATTGCTTTTGTGAAACCAGGTCTCACTATGCAGTTCAGGCTGGCCTTGAACTCAATATCTTGCTCTGACTGGCTTTGAAGTCACTGCCATTCTACTCTCTCAGCCTCTGGAGTTCTGGAATTGCAGTCTTAGGCTCTCATGCTCTGCTTGAATCCTTGAAAAGAAAAGAAAGAAAAAAGAAAAGAAGAGAAGAACTCAAGGAGTAAGCAGAGCCAGTGCTGGGTTCAGATTTCCTGGGGACTTTCTCCAGGTCAGCACACTCAGAAGTATGGAAACCAGTATTCTAGCCCTGTGGCCTGTGTATCTGAAAGGACTCTCAGAGGCATTACTGTCATGAAGAGTCAGTGCTGTTTGCTTTTCTGATCAGTCACCAGCACGATGAAGCCCAAGTGTATACATACCTTGTAGTCATGGTTCTCTCTGGTTTACATTCTCAGGTTAAAGCAGCTCACTGGTATAAGCAAATGAATTACAAGGAAAACCATGAGTCCAGGAGATTTCCTGGCCTGGATCCATTGTCTATAAGAACATGCAGGTTAGGTGTTTGTTTCCCAGACACAAGTTAAATTCTTGAGTACATAACAACACAGTTTCTCTGAGAGATAGCTTATAGCAACCCTTCTCTAACTGGGGTTTTCAAGAGTGGTAAGTTCTGTGAAAAGAAGCGAGCTTTGGTCAGAGATGTTTGGGAAGAGCTGTGTGCTGCTGTCTCCTCGGGGGCTTAGAGTGCAGAGCAGCATGCCCAAGGCTCGGAGGGGTCCTGGGACAGAAGCTGCTACGGTGTGCCTCCCCTGGCCTTCCCTCGCTGATGGCTGAGGGGCTGCTTTATCTCTTCTCTTCCTTCCTTCCTTCCCTGCCTCTCCCTTCCCATGGCCCCTGCTTTTCTCCCTTCCCGCCCCCTTCTCTTCTCTCCCATCTCCTGCCCTTTCTTTTCCTTTCCTTTGGCAGCATGCATCTGTTTGGTAACATACAATGGCCATTTCTAAGACATAGATTGGAAAACACTGACTTCCTCTTATTCCGTGAATATTATGAGACACATAAATGTCTTGTTACATTAAAAATTTGAAGTGAGAATGACAATCATTCCAATAACTCTCCCTTTGTGACTTCCCACTCTTAAGGCGCAATTTCCTTCATGTGAAAGACCCCTAGATTTTAATCTTTTGTCCTCTCCTCATTTCCCATGCCCTGTTGTACTTTGTTTCCAATCCAGACACCCGATCAGCTCTCCAGTGCCCAGCATTGTCTTCCCTTCTCACCAAGTCAGTCACCCTGTGTCCATGAATTGTGTCATTGTCCCCAGGCTCCTAGGATGTCCACTAGGATGATGTCTTCCAGGTGCTCCCTTCCTGACCATTTCAAGACTACCCCTGCCTCCATTCTCAATGGCACTGCCCCTCCCTCCCCACCAGGCTCCCCCATCCAGTTCAGTGTAAGACTAGGGGGAGGCCGGGCAGGTGGCTCTGGCCAGCTTTTGCTCACACAGTTTCTCTGGGTCTCATGGTCTTCTTGAAAATGTTGAAATCAAGGCTCTCATCTAACTACTTCCAAGTTTGGTCTCACTCTAATTTTCTAACATACTTCGCCATTCTATTCATGGAGTTACGAAACTGCTTCTTTCAGGGAGAAGGAACATCTTGATGTTTTTCTTGTACAACTTCCATGCACTTTTTTTTCCTTTTTAAAAAAAAAATTTTATTTGAAGAAAGACAAAACAAAACAGAAAACGGGTAGAAATAGTACATACTTTCAAAGAAAAAGTAAACAGTAAAAAAATCACTAGTTGATGTTTACATATTGTCCTCTTACAAATAATGGTTCAAGATACAAAAGTGGAACATATAAATGGGAATTCAAACAGGGAGACTGCAAATAGTTCTGTCCAACTATCTAATAAAATCTTAGTAATATGGTTATCAATCCTATACACTTAAACATACACGCATTTATTCATATCTTCATTTATGTTGAGATTGAACAAACCAAAGCAGACTAAAATCACTCTGAACAAAGAATAATAGTATTGCTAGATTTCACAGCATGACACTCCGGAATCAGCACTGGGTACTGTAGTGCCTTTTTTTCCTTCAAAGCATTTGTTCATTTCATCATGTGTCATAAGATCAGTTCTTGTAAACTGTTTATAGATTTTACACAAGCATGAGTCTTAACATGTATTTCTATCTTTCTATCTTCCATGCACTTTTAAACCACCCTTTTCTTTGCTTGAAGTCTCCTTTATTTTCCACCTCAACCCCATCTTTATTCAACAGATCTTCCTGTCCTCCCAATCTCAATTCAGAGACCACCAAGCTTATGAAGTTTCCCTTAATCCTTGTAGTGTGCCCACACACTGCACGCATAAGTGTCTTGAAACTTAATTTGTGTACCACCTCAAACTTAGTGAAGTGGATCCCTGTCATCTATTCTTGTATCCCTGCTTGAACCTTACCCAAGGCTGTCTATTAACAGAATGAAACAAATATTGAAGAAATATAAATAGTTTTAAATGTTATTTTGATAAGTATGAAGTGCTGTGCCATCACTAGAGATAATGTGCAGTATCCTTAATTACAACTTCCTGAGCGGATGGTGTTGACGAGGTTTCAAATCAGCACACTGTCATGAAGCTATTTTTAATTGAGCTATTCACGTTCCTTCAAACTTAATCTAAACATGGGTATGTTCAGTGCATCCAGGTTTATTTTATACAGTGTGAGGAGCTGGGGGCCCAAGAAAGCCTGGAAACCTGTGGTGTTTCTCCAGCCTGCACTGAAGTGTTTTCTCTCTCACTCATGTGCTCACCCTTGTTCGTTTCATAGAATTGAAATTGTGGTTAGTGTTTATATTTGAAATAACTTCCTTTTTTGGGGTACATGTTAAGTAAGGAGAGAGATGCAGCTTTAATTAAGCAGGGCAGGGCCATTTGAAAACACACTTGCCTACATACCGTTCTCTCCACAACTCCAGACTCCAGTCTTTTCTCTTCCCTAACTAACACTTTTAAGGCAGCTTCAGAAGCACAAGAAAACATCTGCTTTTGGGAATCAGATGAAAAGCTCTGTATCAGGAGGAATTGTGGGAAGATGATCCTTACATTTGTTCGGAATAAGAGTTCCATAAGACCATTAGGCTAATGACTAAGCAAATGCATAGTCTACTGCAGCAGTGCTTCTCCAAATTGACTGTATGTGCAAATGGCCTGGGTACCTTGTTGAAATTCTGAGTGTGACTGAGCAGGTCTGAGAAGGTAGGAGAGGGTAGCAAGGGTCTGACTGGGGTGCTGCCCATTCATGGAGCACAACTGATAGAGACCCAGAAGAAAAGTTGGGAGGTCGATGATGCTCTACACCTTTCTAAACCCTAGTTCTTTTCATGTGTGATAAGAGAGGGTCGAATGGAACAGTCTCTAACACCTACTCTCAGGCTAACACTTAGTGACCCGAGGAAAAACAAAGAATCAGGAATCAGGGTGCAGTTCTCAGCATATGCTGTCTTTATCTCAGTGTGACTTTCATATTTATTAACAGTTCATCTTAAATGCAGTAGGAATGTCAGGTGCTAAAATTTGCATACATATGTGAGAATGTGGAACCTCAGGAAGTAATTAGTACAGGAAGCTACCTGTGGCCTGGACTTGCCCACCCTCATCCCTCACCTCTATTCTGCTGTTTTTATTTCCCTAGGAGATACTCCATGATTTGGGTGGGATTGAAAACCTGGCCCAGGTAAGCTCTGTTCTGTGGTGGCTGGTCATTCCTCCTCGTTCTGTGCCATGCCAAGGGCAGAATAAGTGTGGGCGCACGGTGTCTGTCTCATGGTGTGCAGCTTGCTGGGGCGGGGTGGGGGGATAAGGGTGAGCCTGAAGCATGGTGCTCGCAGGCCACGGAGGGACCCATAACCGTTCATTCTAGATGATTGGACACATTTCACTTAGCCCTTTGACACTAAAAAGTCACATATCTGTAGTTAGTAGAGACAAAGAATAGGCGTTGGCCGGCGGCATAAAGTCCTCAGAACTGTGTGTTCCATAGGAGAGGAAGATGCTTAAAACGTTTTCACATAGAATCACTCTGTTAAAATATTAATGAATAAATGAAGTAAGGAGTCATCATAACTTCTTTATTTTTCAGAGGGAGGATAACCAGATATATATATGTATAGCAACTCAGTGATGTATGTTTCTGAATGCAGTAATATCTGTCATTGAATTGCAAGGGCTTGCTTTCCTAAAACCCAGAGTATGTACACAAAGAATGATTTATGCAACAAATCAGAGGCCCTGTAAACTCATCCTGAGTTATTAGTGGAAGCTTGAATTTAGTGGCAGTTAAATCTATGTTATTATATTCTCTTTCCTGAGAATCAGTTCATGTCTAAATTTTGTTTTTAAGAATTGTAATTGAGCCAGAATTTAGCTAAATGGCCAGTGCCTGCCTGGCAAGTGTGAATTTGTGAGTTCAATCCCTGGTGCAAAAAAAAAAAAAAAAGAAAGAAAGAAAGAAAAAAAAAAAAAAAAAAGAATTGGGGCTGGGGATTTAGCTCAGCGGCATAAGCGCCTGCCTTGCAAGCAGGCAGTCGTGAGTTCGATCCCTGGTACCAATAAAAAATGAAAAAGACCAAAAAAAAAAAAAAATTGTAATTGACTAGAAGTTTATCTCATTTAATAAGACAATCTTTCCTAAGATTATGGTATAAAGGGTCTTCTTATCTATCCACTGGACCTTCTAGAATAGTATCAGAAACTGTGTTTCTCTGAAGCTGTTTCTTATTAATCAGTTATTGACAGTGGGGAGTTATAGTTCATTTTGCTCTTACTGTATCTGCCTCTATGCTGGTTAGGCATGCTTTTGGATATTATAAAAGATAAGGCTAATACAATTCACGTAGCATGTTATAAAAACCTACAAAAAGGTAAAATTGAAGAATTAAACTTCTGCCCATGTGTTATTTATTTTACATTTAGCTACTAAGTCACAGCACAGACTCATTCAATTGCAGGTCCTTTGGGGACTTCAGGGAGTTTACACAACCTTTACAGGGTCCCTCCCTTAATTTCCGGGCACCCTGGTACCTCTTGCCCTTCAGTGCAGCAGGCCCAGGAGCACAGAGTAATAATTGGTGAATCTGTTGCGCCACCTAGAGCCCACTTAAAGAACTACACAACCTTGTACCTCACCCACTTGGTTTTGGTGTCTTTCCTTTCTAACTGTCCTGGTGGTTGGTTTTTCGCGTAGTACATGGAGATTGTGGCCATTGAGTACCTGGGCTACGGAGAAGAGCAGCACAGCGTGGACAAGCTGGTCAACATGACATGTAAGCGTGGTCTTAGGGTCAAGACAACTTTGGGGACTTGCTTGAATAAACAGTCTGATGTTTGCAGCAGCGGCAGGAAAGGGCACCCTGAGCACTTCTGTTTCCATTCACAGTTAGGGTGTTGAGAGTCCACGCCGGTTATTATACACGGGGGCAAAACACACGGCAGGGTGTTTTCAGCTCCCAGTTCTTGCTTTGGAAAGGAAAATTTATTTCACAATTGCCAAAGAGGCTTCCAGGAAACAAATTTTGTTTGAAAGAAATATTTTTGCCTCTTTTGTTTCTATTAAAATGTCAGAGACTTCACTTTCACCTGTACTATCTGGTTAGCAATAATATCTACCTTATAGAATTTGGAACACAGAAAATAATTCAGATTATGAAACCAGTCGTGTTATCCTAGCACTCTGGGAAGCTGAGGTAGAAAGATGATGACTTTGAACCCCCACATGGACTAAGTAGTGAAACCCTATCGCAAAATTTAAAAACGAATCAAAATGGAGTGAGAAAAGAGAGTCTCACCTGAAGACAGTGACCTGCAAACTCTGGTCTCTGTGTGCAAGGTGAGGTGCTCTCTAGACACTTGGTGTTTTCTTTTGGGTGCCCCCCCTGCCCGTGGGCCACAGACATCCAGCAGTGTTGGGGTGATGCCACCCGTTCCCTGTTGGCTAGCAGACTTCTCGTCCATGTTCGTTTTCAGGGCAACACCCTAGCACCCCATTCTCAGGAGCTGGGTCAGGAGTCTGCCTCGCCCAGGCAGCAGGCCATGTCTTTGAGGATGACCGTTTTCCCTCACCTGGGAAGCTCACCACACTTGTCCCATTTGCTGGCCTCCCCTCTCCTCTTCCTAAGCTGAAACCCCGCTAAGGAGGGTCTCAGGAGAGCAGGGTTGTTCTGTGTGTCACTGTGTCAAGAATCTGTCCAGCTTTTCAGTGGAAGGAGAGGTTTGCTGCGCTTCATCTTTCAAGTGTCAGAATCGTATTATAAATCAGTGTTGGTTGAACTTGAGGGGTAGATGCCCCTCCTCCCTCGGGGCTCCTTGTGTGTCTCTGTCCCTTTGCCTTTCCTCCGCTGGCCCATCAGGGTCGCAGACCCCGACTTCTGTGAGTACTTCTTTCTCTAGCCTCCCCACCTCTCCCTTCTTTTACAGATATTTTTCAAAAACTGGCTGCCGTCAAAGAGCAGAGAGAATGGGTGACCATGAGCGGAGCCCACAAGGTGAGCTGGCTCTGAGTGAGTGCCTCAGCTGTACCCGGCCCTGGGTGGCCCTGGCACCAGTTCATGTGCCCGCTTCCAAACCTGCGCCGTCACGGTCACGCTGCGTGTGATTGTGACTCACAGGCTTGCTAAAGCAACCTGAAGTTGTGACTCTGTCAACCCTTTTAGATTGTTTACCAGTCTAGGGAGTCAATATGGATAAGTAAATAAAGGTTTTTCTGAAGCCCTTTTTTTAATGCCATGTAATAACAACTAACTTTATTGTTTCGTTTAAATATTGCTCAAAAAACCTGGTTATATTTCAACATGGGTGAATTCAGGTTTAATCAAAACAGATTAAAGTTGTATTATAATAAAACTGTTTAGCTGATGGCTCTCAGAGCTTTTAATAGCCTGTTGAGTACTTAGATCCCAGGAAGCTCCTTACCGGTGTACACTGGAGCGGGTTTACCTACATTACAGCAATAATGGTGCCTAGAGTCTACGTAAGGGAAGGTGAACCTATGGTACTCTTGTTGTGCAGGTTGTTTATGTCTTTGAAAGTCCTAAAAGGTTCGCCATCAATGCTTTAGAGGATGATTTGTAGGAAAATTTTAAATTAATATTGAGGTGGTAAGTAGACATGACAAAAAATATGAAAAAGAAATGTCTGGAAGTGAAGTTTGGGAACTATGCTATAAGACAGGGAAAAGAAAAGGAAAGAAAAACAGGAAGAGTTCAGAAAAAATAGAAATAGAAATGCATAATTCATTTTTTTTAAAAAAAGAAATCATAAAGAGCAGAAATCCATATAATGGAAACAAAAAATCATTCTAGCAGTTATTGTACAAATTTCAACTCAGAGCCAGATCTGTTTGGGCTACACTGTTTTTTGAGACAGAGTCGGTATATGCGGTTCAGGCTGCCTTTGAACTCACTGTGTAGCCCAGGCTGGCCTTGAACTCACTGGCCATGAACTCGCAGGGATTCTTCTGCCTCAGCCTCTCAAGCTCTGGGATTGCAAGTGTGCACCACCACGCCCAGCTGGGGTTGTACTTTTTTGGGGGTGCTCTTATTCTGAAATTGTGTCTAGAAGACAAGAGATTTATATTAATGGGAATTTGGGAAAGGCATCTGACAAAAACAAAAACAAAAAAATCACCAGCTAAAGCATGTTACTTGGGAGGATGCTTTAGACCAGTGATGCCTTTGTAACATCGCCTAGATGTCTACGAGCGAATGGAATACTCTGCAATGTTACCACCTCTTGTGTAATTTTCAAGGAAAATAAAAGTTTTGACATTCTGCTTCATCAGTTGGGAAGTGCCTGGCTCAGAGTGAGTGCTCAATGCCTGGTCACTGCCGTAACCTATGCCATTAGTCTCAGCTTCTCCCAGCAGAGGGTCAGAAGGGTTGAGCCAAATACTTGGGCACAAGAAAATACAGGCTAGTAGGAGGTCTGGCCAGCCGCCACACCATTGGGTCCTTCCACGGTCCTGGTTGGGGAGGGACTGGCGAAAAAGGGCTGCTTTAGAGAGCAGCAAGTGACAAAGAAAAGAACATTTGCCCTCTGGGAAGAACCAGGAATTTTGGGTGTTTATCCACACTACTTTTAAGGCTAAGCTTCTCCATGGACAAGAAAATAAAAAACAGAAATCTTATGTAAGGCTTGAGCTATGTCAATGGCATTTTTCACTCTTCTCTACATCAAGCCATAGTACGATACATAATTTGATTCTGTTTATAAAAATTATGTTTTATATTAGTCTCAGTTTACAATACAGAAGCGTTAAATCCACCTTAGGGCTGATACACGTGCGTACTGTTCCCTAATCATTTTGACTCCTTTCTCCTGCTCTACCTTTTCCCTCCTCCCCCAGATGCCTTCTCATCTTGAACATAAGAAATAATTTGATCCTATTTAATACAAATTATGCTTATAAAAATCTATTCAATGTCATGAAGAAATTTTAGATATTAGAAATTTGTGTAACATTCAGAAGGAAACAAATAGGCAGCTATAAAATTATGTATAGTTTCTTAATTATGCATACACATTCGTCTTTAAAAACTAGCAAACAAAAAAGCCTGAGACTGAATCTCTGTATTTAGAAGGAAGCATTTCGCTATTAGAAGATTGCAGTACTTACGAAATTCAGTATTTTTTCCTGTTTTTCAGACACTAGTCAATTTACTCAGTGCCCGGGATACTAACGTCCTCTTGGGTGCCCTTCTGGCCCTGGCCAGCTTAGCAGAAAGGTAGGTACATATAAATACACTTAGCAAGTCCTCCGCGATAGCAATTTAGATGGAAGAGTGAAGTCCAGATGGTCACTTTGTCTCCTTCTCAGTTAAAATTTACAGAGTTAAACATAAAGGGCCGGGGATTTAGCTCAGTGGCACAAGCGCCTGCCTGCTAAGTGCGAGGTTGTGAGTTCGATCCCTGGTACCAAAAAAGAAAAAAAAGGAACTCAACATGAAGTAATGTGTCAAAGAAGACCTCAAGTAGAAAATACCATTTTAAAACTTATGCTGGAAAGGCAAATAACTGCTTCGAATCCTCTTTTATTTCCTGATTTAAGATATTCACATGCCTGTTCCTCTAATCCGTTGCTTCTGCTTTCAGTATTATTGTAATTTTTCTTTTTTTTTATTGTAATATTTCTTTGGCAGTGAAATCTCCCTGACCTTCCTTCCTCATTCCAAGCTGTGTATCAATTTTAACCTACAGAACATTCTCAAGCATTTTTGATCTTAAAATTTTTTTAAGAATTCTTGTTCTGGGGCTGGGAATTTAGCTTGCCTTGCAAGCAGACAGTCGTGAGTTCGATCCCCGGTACCGATAAAAAGGAAAAAGACCAAAAAAAAAAAAAAAAAGAATTCTTGTTCCCCCATAGATATTATTTTTAAAAAATGCTTTACATATATTTTTATGCCAATAAGTGAATCACTGTTTTGTTGCTTTGTACCAGTATGTAATCCTTTTTTTCCCCCCTGTGGTCTCTCCTTCAATATAAAATAAATGTAGTAAAATTTATTTTTTAAATACTTACTAATGTTTTAAAATTTGTAGTCCAGAATGTAGGGAGAAGATAAGTGAACTCAACATTGTAGAAAATCTGTTGATGATTTTACATGAATATGACTTACTTTCCAAAAGGTAGGGTTGCTAAAGATGAATAAGATAATGTGTTAGACTGATGTAAATGCTTGGTATTTCTATCATGTTATACTATTTACAATGGTAACTGACTATCATGCATTAAATTGTGAATTATTTTCTGTTTAAGCTTATAGAAAGAAACAAGCACAAAGAAGTATGCTGATTTATTTTCAGTCCTTCATTAATTCTAGATCTGTGCATATATAGAATTTTATGATTAATTCTATACTTTTACTTACTTAATGTGTTTATTTAGTTTACTTACATTTTCTGAGAAAGAAACTCAAAGGTGGTTCTACTTTTTATAATTTCAGACTATGTGCAGACTAAAAGATTCGATTGTTAGGTCCATTTTCCTTAAGATGAGTTGAATAAGATGCTGACTGACTTATTTTGTGATCGCTTGTAATTTAGGACAGAATCTTGAGTAAAATGGATTGCATTCACTTGAGCTGCACATTGCTTGGAGTATTACTGGGTCCAGATAATGATTTGGTTATATTTAAATAGGGTTTCAACCTGCATCATTTGATACTTAGTTGAGTCAGGATTTTCTAAATATCCAAGATAGATAACAGAAATCCCAAACAACAAGCCCTGGAACTTAATTCATAGTAATTTTTTGGATTCTTCTTTAAATTTGATTTAATATTCTTTTGCAAAAGCGTTAGATATAGACAAGGGTTTATATATCCCCATAATTGGTTTCTGAACTTGCTCACCAGAAAGGGACCAGATGCTGCCTCAGGTATTAAAAAGCTGAAGATGAACAGCATTTAAATGTCCAGTGCAAGGTAGGGACAGACAGATGAATCACAGATTTCCTTGTAGTGTTGTAGGTAAATGGGCACAGGCTATTCTGGGAGCGCGGAGCAGAAACTTCCCAATGGGAACGAAGGGTCATGCCTGGTTTTCTAAAGGACAGAGGCTGTATCTAAGCAGAGTGAGAAAGCAAACAGAAACAGAATGTCCTCAAGTCTGGAGGCGTGAGATGAATGTGCACATTGGGAGTACAGCAGATGTAAGAGGAAAGGGCCAAAAAAACTATGACAGATCGTCAATAATAAACGTAAAGATGTAGCTAGTTTTTGGGAGTGCTTTGTATATGCCAGGCCATGCTCCAAGCACTCTTGCATGTCTACTCACTTGATCTGCACAAACACTCTGTCATTTTCCATGTTTAACAGATGAGCCAGCAGGACAAGTTTGTCCTAGTCATGATGGGGTTTGTGTATGAAATAAAGATACAGATGTTAACATGAACGTTGCAGGGACTACTGGGAAGATTTAGAGCACGATCACATTATTTTTTGAGAGGTTATTTTGCTAATTCTGTGTGTGAAGGTGGGATAGACTATGGATATATCTATACATTTAAATCCATTTATAACATGGAGAGAATCTCTGGTATAGAAAGTTTGAGAATGCAAAGAGTTCCAGTTTACCAAAGAGCACATTTTCTTAATGTCATAACAGAAAGTTTTGAATAAGGAAGGAACATAGAGAATTGGTTGGGGGAAAGGGATTATAAAACAGTACGAGAAGGTGGAGTACTAGAGAGGCGGTGTCCTGAATGTGATCAAGAATCGTAAGGATGGGAAGAGTGGTGGGGTTAGTTGTATGCCTTTCAGGAGAATTCCTCTCCATGTTGGCCCAGAAAACGGCACACAAAGGGCTCTTTATTGACAGTGGCAGGGTGTCACAGGGAGTGTCTGGAGTAACTCTCAATATTCTGGCTTGGAAAACTGGAAAGGTTGTGGTGCTGTGAGTCCAATCGGGGTTATAAGGGAAAGAACATATTTGAAGAGGAGGATAATGCTGAATTTAGACATAGCATACACGAGCAGCCATGGAGTATCTGTGTAGCTGTACTTTCTGAAGGTTATGAGCAATGCCTAGGCTGGATCATCATGCCAGGGCATGGGAAGTGCTTGTAACCATGGCAATGTATGATGCTGTATGGATGACAGCACATGGAGTGTGAGCCTGAAGGGCAAAGGTTGATTCTGGGAAAGCTCTATCATCATCATGTTTCATGGCTCAGCTAAACCTTGCGTCTTTAACGTCATTATTATTTTCCGGATATCACTGAGGACTTTGTACATAATTTCCCTACATTGTAGAATTGATTTTTAAAAAATTTTCTTTGGCTATATTATTTTATAGCCATGCACAAAATTTCTGACTACTAGAATAAGGCTGTTTATATTTCTTTTACTTTTGCACATACAAGTCACACTGTTCACACTCATTACCTATTTACTGGTCAATAAGTTTTTAGCTAGACCAATGAGAATATAATACTCAGAAAAGTGGTCAGCAAACTCCACCCTGTAAGGCCTGCTGCTTATTTTGTAAATATTTATCCTACCACCACATGCCCCTTACTTTTTATGTATTGTCTATGCTGTTTTCACTCTATCTGGGCATATCTAAATAGTTACGATAGACATTGCCAGTGAAGCTGAAAATATTTGCCTTTGGTCTGTGGCTAAGAAAAGTGTTGTCTGATGACTTGAACAATGTTCCGCTTAGATTTGTGCAGTCGTGATGGCTGTCGCATAGCTGTGATTCTACCTGCTGCCTCCCTTCCCTCCAGACTGACTGCGGAGTTGCTGCGCCTCCTCTGTGCCGAGCCCCAGGTGAAGGAGCAGGTGAAGCTCTACGAGGGGATTCCTGTCCTCCTCAGTCTGCTGCACTCGGACCACCTGAAGCTGCTCTGGAGCATTGTCTGGATTCTGGTCCAGGTCTGTGAGGACCCAGAGACCAGTTTGGAAATTCGCATCTGGGGAGGCATCAAGCAGCTGCTTCATATTCTCCGAGGGTGAGCGTGGGCTTTGGCTTACTTTGCTGTAAAGATCTGCGGGGATTCTGTGACAAGAGGACTGTAACACACACACACACACACACACACACACACACACACACACACACGGAAAATTCAAATTGTAAGCCTTGAGTATAGGGAAGGATGGATTAAAATATTTTCTGGATGTATGTTTCAGTGTCGTTAGTCATTAGTATATCTTAGGAATTGAGTGTGTGGCAATATTAAATAATAATGTTTTGATACTTCCATGGGCTAATTCTATTACCTCCTAAGGCATAATTCAACCTGATGGATGCTAAATTGAAGTTAAAGATGAATGCATCTGCATGAAAGGGATCACATTTTAAGATCTGTGGTGCATAAATAAACCTCATTCTGATAAAAGTAGAATGACATAAATTTTACTATAACTAGATATTATCAAGTATATGTTATTAGAACTTTATAGATGTTATTCCTTTAGGGATATTGCGGAGCTTTGTATTGCTAACTTTGTTTTCTCTGAAAGAACATTCTAAAGCATCAGAACAGACTGAAGAGATACGAGCTTTGCAATGATTTCTGTCAGTACCAAAACAAAGGAAAAAAATTAAAGACTGTTAATAATCTACTTGGTTTTATGAATATCACTTCAAAACCTCAATTATGTTAAATTATAAATCTTTTTTTGTGTGTGTGCTTCTTGAGACAGGGTCTCACTATGCAGTTCAGGCTGGCCTTGAGCTCACTTTGTAGTCCAGGCTGGTCTCAAACCCACAACGAGCCTCCTGCTTCAACCTCCCAAGTGCTGAGATTACAGGCATGGATGCATCACCATGCCTGACTGTTAATTATAAATCTTTCAAGAAGTATTGCAGTGTAAAAAACTAGCCCTTTGGTCAAAATAATTCACAGTTGCCAAAGATTTTTTTGTATATAGGATAAAGATGGTGATTGTAATGGTGATGGTTGTGATTATTATTTATTACTGTCAATCGGACCTTTTGAAACAGTTGTGATATGCCCTCTTAGAAGGTAGCTATTTTCTTAATAAAAATTTTATATATAGTCAATACTTTGAAAATAAAACCCATATTTTCCTTATGTAGAATTGAGTCTAAGACAAGGCAGCATTTTCCTTATTTTCTCAAATCCTAACTACCTTGCTAGAAAAGAGTTCTGTCACATTTAAACAGCCATTTTCCAGGCCATATCAATGGTGTGATGTTTAGAAAGCTCTTCCCTGGGAGGATGATATATGTCAACTCTTACTCTGTACTAAATGCGCCTTGCTTTTCTGGGGGAATTTATTATCCCACCTGGGTAAATAATGTCCTTTCAGAGCTTGTGCCTGCCTCAGGGCCACCTGGTGCTGGCAGTAGGGACGGAGGCTGGGGGGTGTCTGGTGGCTTGAGTATGAACAGGCATTGTTAGCAGGGCAGCTCCCAGGAGACCTATTCATGCACCTTAAAATTAAAGGTGTGCCCTTGACTGGGTGGAATGATCCCTGTAATTGATTTCGTTGTGTCATAGGATGACCAGTTGTGATTGTCCTGTGACCCAGCCCCTCTGCTTCCACTGTTCCCAGTAAAGAACGGCACAAGTTCATCAGGCTGTAATGGCGGGGGAGTCACATGAGCACACAGAGGTCCAGGCAGAACTGCTGCCCAAACAGTACACAAATGAAAAAAAAAAATACGGTCACCAAATAAAGTAAAACAGCACAAGGCGAGCATAGGCCACAGAAAGAATCTATTGTGGAAGACAGTGCACTGAAATAGGAAAACAAATGCTTTGCTCTTAACAAAGACGTTAAACAGATCACGAGAGAAAGGAAAGGAGACAGGATGGAATAACACCCGCAGAACTAATAAATTTCATGATGAGGAGAAGAAAACTGGTTGGTTGTAGCACAATGGAGGGCAAGCTTCAGAAAGTCGCATATATTGCAGAAGAAAAAGACAAGGGAATGAAAGCAATTTGGACATTAAAGAAATGCGCTTCAACATGTGCGTAGTTGAGATTCTGGAGGTAGAGATCAGGTTAAATTTTCTTAGGATAAAGAAGGAATTTCATTGGAAAAATAAAACTTGGAATACTCATGACCAAGTCATTTTCAAGTGAGCTGATTGCAGCAGACTAGAATTCAGAGAAAGGTGGCCTTGTAAGCAGTAGGGAAATGACAGCTAAGTAATGTGACATCCTCTCAGTTATAGGCCAGAAGAAGAAATGAAGGGAGAGAGAGAATGCGAGAGGAGGGACGGAGGGCGGGAAGGACTCATAACAAAAATCAAGTCTGTGTGTGTTAAAATGTGCAACAATAAAAATGGGAGGCAGGAGCCTTTGTGATCAGGGGAGGCAAAAGTTTTAAAACATGACACAAAGAACTAACGAACTAACCGTGCAGGAAAACTGATATGCGGTTTGTGCATTAACATTCCAGAGATAGAAATTTTGTTTCTGACCGTTCTTCCATCGGAAGTCTGTCCAGTGCAAACGCAGCTGGCCGAATTCAGCAGCTTCAGCTGTCAGAAGATCTCAGTCCTCATGAAATACAGGAAAACACTGTCTCTCTTCAAGCAGGTATTTATGGCATGTCATTATGTTTTATCATTTGATATGATATACTTTGTTCCATTGCAGTCCTATTTGTTAGAAAATTCTTATGATAGTGTTAAATAGACACAGTTTATAAGATTATAAACTTGTACAGTTAAATCAGAAACAAACACACTGATGCTGACTGGTAGGTTCCTGAAACAATAAACTTTCTGCTCCCTTCCATGTTCTTCACTTATCAAGAAAGAAATATAAAATAGAAATAAAGAAAGACAGTATTAGCTTTATTACCGGATTTAAAGCTGGATTTGAGAGTACAGCTTGCTCTGTGGCTAGAATCATGCTGCCTATAATTTTCTAGATCTTGGGAAACCCTCCTCCAAGGAGAACACAGAGGAAGATCCTGCCCAGGGCGGAATTTTTCACACCAAAGCCAGTGCAGCCGTGCATGGAGACATTTCTTAGAAGAGTTACCATGAGCAGTCATGCAGTCTGTGCCCTTCACAGGAGCACCTGATCTTTGGACCGGTCTCCGAGGGGCCAGCCATGCTGGTGTCCTGCCACAGCCCCCAGGAGGGGAGGAGAAGGGCACAGTGTGTGTCGGAAGTAAAGTAGGGAGGTGCTAAGAGAGGAAGGGTACCTGGGCCAGAGGGCGGGCCTGGGCGGTAGTGGGGTAGGAGAAGGCAGGCTTTCTTTAATCCCCGCTCCTTCCTCCTAGAACGTGAACAAGAGGTTTTTTCACAGACATATGGAGACAGAAAACTAAAATCCGACATTTCATTTACCATTTCTGATTTCCCCAAAGACTTCTATCTGAATCATGGGGTTAGGCTGGGATTTTCTGTGTAAAACTTTTCCCTTAAACCTAATCTAGTTGGATCTCAAAACTCTTAGGTATTTTTTCTTTTTTTAGACTCTTCAAAGAGTGTATCAAATCTAGGGTGACAGAATTCAGAAGAGTGGTTGCCTCCTCGTGGGATTATCCAGTGGTTAATGCTGGGGGGGGGGTGTGGTAAGGGGCACCAGGACCAGCCTGTATCTTCCTCTGGGTGGGAGAGGCCACAGGGTCTATAGATGCACAATATCTCATTAAGCTGAGACTCAAGTTGAATGTGTAGAATTTGCCTAGCTTGTTTTATACTTAAATACAAAAAGAAAAACAAGTGACAAAAGTATAAAGAATTGTAAGAGTCTGAGTTTTTAGTACGCGTGCTATTGCTCGTGTAAAATGGTGATGATAGTCACGATATCGGCACTAGGCGGTAGTTGTGGGAATGAATGAGGACATACGTAAAGTCTCTAGCAGAGTGCTAGGTCAGCGTCAGGGACTCAGTGCCGTGGTATTATGCTTTGTGGTGTGTGGCAAACCCCTGAGAGGACAGGTTCAGCGTGGCTGCAAAGAGGCAGGAAAGGTACATTTCCGGACTCGGAATTTAATGGCCAGCCAAGTGGAACTGTACTCATGGTGCCTTCCACTTACTAGTTGTGTGTCTGAGCATATTTAACCCTCTTTGAACCTGTGTTCTCATCAGCAGACTGGTAATCTTAGTGCATTCCTGATTACAAGAATTAATTCAGATAATGTATTTAAAGCCTTCACGAATTTATCAAGCATCATCAATGTATTTACTGAGCATATGTTAAGTGCCAGGCATGTGTTGACCATTGAGGATTACATGAACCAGACAAATACAAACCCTGCCTTCTTGTGTATAGTAGGCATCCAATAACAAGCATGTGAAAGACAGGAGGACTGACCTAGAAGCCATTAAAAGCCAGCCTCCCTTTTCAGAAGAGAAGCCAGTGTTTCTTGAGCAGTGGGTTTGCCAGGAGCTGTCCCTATAGAGGCAGGTGCTGATGTACCCCAAGGTGAGTGTGGGTGCTGACTGTGCGGTCACAGAGCTAACTGATGCACTCTTGGCTTGATGCTCTCTTTCCAGCCTGCTGTGCCGCCCTCACAGAGCTGGTGCTCAATGACACCAACGCCCACCAGGTGGTCCAGGTGAGCAGCTTAGGCTCCAAGGGTGGGTCCTCGTCTCCTTTCGTGGTCAACCGGCCTTCAGTTGCAGTTTGCACCATAGAGTACAGGTTTTAGCATCCTGTCCTGTGACTTCTAAACATTTTAATGTTTCTTACTTAACTTACGAGGTCTAACTTCTATTCCTGTCCTTCCTCCTTTAACTCACTTGTGACTTGTGGTTCATTTATGTTGATTTTTCTTTCCTCCACTGTGTGCAGTCTTTTTCATTTTTGTTATCTTTTTGTTGTTGTTACTCTGAACTGGTTTCATTCTGGGCACAAGGGATACTATGAGTTAAGGAGAATGGTCATTTTATCTAAAACTGTGCTGTTACTGAGTTAGAAGTGATAGAGACACACTGTCTTAGTTACTTTTTACTCGTCGCTGAGACAAAATACCTGAAGCCCAAAGTTGGGAAAGGAAAGGTTTATTTCTTACAGGTTTTGGAGGTTTTAGTCCATACTCAGTAGGCTCCAAGGCAGGGTGTTCATGCAACAACAAGGCCAAAACTGGCAAGAGAGCGAAGCACGCCTTCTTCCTGCCATTACATTACCTCCTGGCTCCACCCCTATGTGGGTGTAGCACCGACACCATCAATCCAAGCACAGTGAACCATCACTAATGCACAGTGCAAACTCATGAGGCCTGGGGGCCACAGACATAAACCATGACACACACTAAACAAAAACATTGATTGCCAAGAAACTGATTTCACAAGTTCTCACTGTCTTGGCAAGGACAGGTTTTGTTTCAGATAAACACCCCAGAGGAGTTTTAAATAGGAGAGCTAGGGCAGCAGCAGTCTTGGAGAGTACGGGGTTTCTAAGGGGAAGCTGGGGGAGCAGAGAATGAGGAAGCCAGGAATTTGGGCCATGTATCTGGTATGCATTTCTGTTGCAAAAGTTATCTCTTACTTATTGAATTTTCCAGAGAAAACTTTTTTGTGAGAGTCAACACCATATTTCCATCAGAATACACAGACACATAAGCACTCAGGTTGCCAAGGGAGGGTGGCAGAGGCCAGACATCTGGTGTTGGCCAACTCCTGAGATCCTTACCTGCCAGTTGGCTGGGCTTCTGAAAAAATGATGTAACCTCTCCAGGGTGTGGTTTTATCATGTGTAAAACAGCAAAACTATCAAATAATTCACAGAGTGACTGTAAAATGAAATGCACCAAGCAGGTAAATCTCTTTGCTCTTTTAATCTAAGTGCACACACATGGTAGCGGTCAATAAAATTATATATTAACAGATAACAGAAAGGCAGCTCTAGTCTGATCCTTTATTCACTTCTCCATGTGTATATTTGTTGTTAGAACACGTCTTGAAAGATGCTAAATGTATTTTCATGGGTAAATTTTATTTTTTTTAAGAATCTGTTATTATTGTTTTGTGGACTTCTTTTGAAAAATTTGTTTATAACGAATGATCTCTATATATTCTTTAATAATAAAAACCATAAAAGGGTAATTATATATCACTGTTGGGTATCTATAATTCAAAGTGTAGCAATATTTGGGTTCCTTTATTCTATCCCTTTTTAGTCTCTCACTCTTCGCTTCTAAAATATGAAATCACTTTAAGTTTAAATACTTTATTAATTATAACTTGATTCTTTTCAGACAGTTAAAAATTTATAGTGTTTCTGGTCTTTGGTGTTCAACAAATTCAATATTACATTAATCTTTTAGTAATACCCTGTAATACTTACTTAGATGTCCACAATGACGGCAGGGTTACTTTTTCTGAGGTTGTTTAGCTGCTTCCCTATGTTGGTGCATCTCTCTGGCATCGTCACTGGCCACTGATAACACGGGCCCTTTATTCTTTCAGGAAAATGGTGTATATACAATTGCAAAATTAATTTTACCAAATAAACAAAAGAATGCAGCAAAAACCCATCTACTCCAGGTAAGACCAGAGCGTGCGGGGCTTGATTTCTTTAGTGCACCACAGATATATCCATCCTGAAAATGCATTTTGTTAAGCAGAGAAAGTTTCTGAAGATTCCAGTAGGAGGCCAGGAGTGGTGGCATGCACCCCTCCTCCCCTGTCCAGGAGGGGAGGACTGTACAGTAGAGGCCAGGCTGGACAATATAGAGAGATGCTGTCTCTTGGCAAAAGAGTTGCACGAAGCAGCTCTGTACTTCCTGGGTTCAATCCCTAATACTGCTGAAAAAAAATCTCTTTGGGATAAATTTTAAGGTTGTGTACAGGTCGACTACCTCACCGCACACCCGAATGCCTCTTCCTTGTCACCATCCTCTCTTCTGCCTGGCAGAGAGCTCTCTCTGGGCAGTTTTGTGTGTGTCCTGATGTTTAGATCACTGATGTGCAAAATGGTCCAGGTGCAGTGTGGCTGGTCCCAATCATTCCAGTAGTGCAGTGGCAAGCCGGGGGCTCCTTTTTCTCAGCCTTGCAAAATATCAGATGTTTATTTTTCTTAGTTAAAACCTCACTGGTCTCTTTCTGAGGGTTCCAGGGAGTTACTGTTGACTGTTCTATTTGGGGAATGCTTCAGACTCTTTACTCAAGAGACCAATTTGTCAGGCTTGAGTCCACTATGCCTGTGGCTATTTTTATATGTCATCATTTCTAGTGTTTATTTTCTCACAGAAACCATATAAATATCGAGGCGTAATAGCAGGGTAGAAACAAAACAAAACCTGAGCTCTGGAAATCTTTGGATGTTTAGTTTTCTCAGCATAGGAGTTTTACTTCTTGTCTCCATGCTCATTTTGTGCTTTCTAGAGAGGAATTAATGGCAAATACTGGGCAGAACAAGGCCATGGTCCCCATAATTCTACAACCCCCCTCTTTTTAAATAGGAGAACTACCTCGGGTGTGGGTGGTTTTGTTTTCAGTTATGTATAAGCTTGGGCTCCCTATTAGGCCAGCCACTGATGATCAAGACATTTTAATGTCTACTTCCTGATAATTCTGTCCTCAGAATGTTTTAATTTGTTGAGTGACCCTTGAAGAACCACATTTTCTTTTATTTTCTAGTGTTATGCTTTCAGAGCCCTGAGGTTTCTCTTTAGCATGGAAAGAAACAGACCACTCTTTAAAAGGTAAGAGCTTATGTGCTTGAAGAAATGTGAAGGGCCGTCTGGTTTAGGAGACCAATGGACTGAACCGTTTTCACACCCTGGTTTAGATGCCACAGCAGAAGCGTGGTCAGTGTGCAAGCCATGTGTCTTCAGGTCTCCTAGACTGCTTAGTGAGCTCTTGTAGCAATACTATTAACAAAAGTGCTAATGAAGGAGTATAAATCACTATGTCACTACAATTCCTCTTAGTTTCCTGTGATTGACCATCATGGTTTTAGTACGTTTTTGTTAAAGACACTGACATCTTAAGTGGATGACATCTAAATATGTCCTAGTTCTAAGTGCATCTGTATTTTTCCCCGTAGACTTTTCCCCACAGACTTGTTTGAAATCTTCATCGACATAGGACATTATGTTCGTGACATTGGCGCCTATGAAGAATTGGTATCAAAGTTGAATTTGTTAGTGGTAAGTCCTGCATTTTCAATGTTTTGGTAGGCTGTATGTGGCCAACATAGACTTAGCCATGGCAGTTCATTTTGCTTTTATTTTTTGGTTAGGAGGATGAACTGAAACAAATTGCTGAAAATATTGAAAGCATTAATCAGAACAAAGCTCCTTCGAAATATATAGGCAACTATGCCATTTTGGATCATCTGGGAAGTGGAGCTTTCGGCTGTGTTTACAAGGTGACTTGGCGTTTGGGGAGCAGCGTTTTAGATATTCTCAAACAAAACACGTGTTACACTTCCACACTGATATTCAAGTTACCTGCAATCATTGGCAATAAATAAAGGAGTTAAAAATTAGAATATTTTGCTCAACAGGAAGAGCTAGCTACCTAATGCCTTAGTTATCTAGTAATTTGCTGTTTTCAGAGAAAAGAGTATTTCTCATGAAAATAGTCAAAATAGCGTGTACTGATATGTGACACATTCTCTAAATTTATGCCAGGGTTTCTATATTTACATAGTGAAACCCTACTCATTATGGAAGACTGGACAGAAGATAATTTTTGAGCTGAGGTTAAAGTAAATTCAGCTACAGTTTTATATGCTCTGTGACTTACTCAGATAACTTGGTCAAGCAAGTGGCTTTGTTAACCTGTTCCTTTCTTATTCTCTTATTCTTTCAACTTTCATCCCATTGAGTTTTGCTTGCTTTCTTCTCTCTCTCTCTGTCTCTGTCTGTCTCTGTCTTTCTGTCTCTCTGTCTCTCTCTCTGTCTGTCTCTCTGTCTGTCTGTCTGTCTGTCTCTCTCTCTCTCTCCCCCTTATTTCAGGTTAGAAAACGTACTGGTCAAAATCTTTTGGCAATGAAAGAAGTGAATTTACATAACCCAGCATTTGGAAAGGATAAAAAAGATCGAGACAGCAGTGTGAAGAATATTGTTTCTGAATTAACAATAATTAAAGAGCAGGTAAGTGCTTGTCTTGTTCCTGGACATATTTTATTAAATAAGTGTCAGCGAAGCAGAGTTCTTGTGCCAGTGTTATCCGTGCTGTTTGTGGGCTGGCTCTGTGGGAAGAACCGGGCACTGAGGCATGGTATTTTCACAGGCTTTTTCCCTCAGGCTGAGGCATAGACATGCTTTCTGGAGTTTATATTAAGACCATGGAAGCAAAAACACTTGGGCTTGTGGCACAGAGCCTGTCACCCATGAGCGGTCCTTCTCTCTTCATTCAAAGCACAACCATTCCCTGGTCATGACAGGGCATTTGATTAGCTGAGCACATGTGTACGAGCATGGCTAGGAGCTCCCTGACTTTGACCAAGTGGGACCAAGCTGTTAGTATTTTTCAACTGTGGCTTACTAAATCTAAAACTGTGGATTTTCAACATAGGTTAATATTTATTGGCATGAAAGAATGTACTAAGAGCTCAACTAACTATCATTATCAGGTTTGTTTGGGAGAAAGAAGGGATGTGTCAGAAGCAGAATGGGATTTCTTTTTGAGATCCATGAACACACTGCCTTCTTTCTCACTTGTGCATTTACCGCTAACACTTCATGTAACTCCCCTGGAGAGCGGTTAGCCTCTCTCTGCTCTTTGCTCTCCGCTAGTCACATGTGTGCTAGAACAGAAAGAGTACCATAAATACGGAACTGAGTCACTGAGATCTATAATTCTATTTCAATTTATAAATCACAGTGATTTCATCATTAACAGCTACTTTGCAGGTAAGTTTTATATACTGACACAGTAGCTTAGATATTTTTACAGGGCTGGAATTGAACCCAGGGTCTTTGCCCTGAGCTGCATCTCCATTCCATTTTTTATATTTTAGTTTGAGATAGGGTCTCACTAAGTCACTAAGGTTGGGCTTCATCTTGAGATGCTCCTGCCTCAGCCTGTCAGAGTGCTGGAGTTATACACATGCACTGCTGCTCCTGGCTAGGTTAAATTTTTTTAAAGGTAGTGTTTGCTCAGATTTAGGATAACCTAACGTTTCTCAAGGAGCTGTATAATTATAGCACAAAGTAGAACATGGTTTTGACCTGGGCTGATCCAGTGTGTTCATTTGGACCCAAATCTAGATATAACCCTTGCCAGTGAGCTAGGCCTGGAGTGTGGTTCTGGTATTGACTTGGTCTTGTTTTGTTTAAAAGCTGCTATTTGCTAGGTGATGAGATGGGGCATTTGTTTCATATTTCCTCAGGAAAGAAAGTGCCTAGAAGGCAATATTTGACAGGCGCTATTTTAGACTTTGTGGTCACTCAAAGCCATACAGCTGGGCTCACTAGAGGATCAAGCAGTGCAAAGGATAAAAGTACTGAGCCCTTAAAGGAGGAGGCAGTGGCAGAAAGAAGCAGTCGAAATGAAAGAGACTGTGTTTGTTAAGATGAAGCTGGGGTCAAGAATGCAGAGGCTCAAAACAGAGCAACAGTGCAGTTGGCTGTGTCTCATTCATGTGACCGTGTGAAGGGGGTGGCGCTCTCTGCTCCACGCAGTCCTTGGAGACTCTGTTCCCCCTGGTCACTGTCCTCACTTGTGTCTGTGAAGCTGCCACTGGCACGTCCACGTGAGGGCCACAGCTAGGGTTGGGGGCTCAAACCCCGGGGGGCCCTGTTTCCCTCAGACTCACTGCGTGACAGGCCTGCTCCTGACTGCAGGAGAGGGTTAGGGTTAGGGTTAGGGATACCAAGTGTGGGAGATTCTTGATAAACTGGCCTTGCAGGGTCCTGGCTGAAATTGTGCAGGCCAAGCATGTGGGCTGGTCAGGAAGAGCAGTCACCCGAGTCTGGTTAAGTATGGTAAGGGGATGACTTGTCAGCCAGTACAGAGTGTAATCACCTGTTAGTGCTTAGATTATTTCACTATCATATCAGTCATTGTGTAGAACATAGAAACAGTGTAGACACAAACTATATACATGTACATATTTCTATACATGGAAAGAAGTTAGAAAGCAATGGCTCTTGGCACAAATTACTTCATTTGACTTTTTTTCTTTTACTCAGTTTTTGTGGTATTAGAAGGCACTATGTGACTTCTTCAGATTCTATTTAGTTCTATAATTCTGCTTTACTTATGTAACAAAGCACAGTTTTTGCTTACAAAGCCATAAAGGTGATTGGTACTTTCTGTTTAATTTTATAAGCCACAGATTTTTTAAAAAACTCATAGAAATTGCAGATGATATCTTGAAATGCTGATTTTTAGACATAATAACTTATGAAATAATAGTCTATGAAATACTTGTGTGTTGAAGTAGATAATAAATATTTGTGATTTATTTTCTTGTAGCTTTATCATCCTAACATTGTACGTTATTACAAAACATTTCTGGAAAGTGAGTATGACTTTGGGGTGGGATTTCTAATTAAGGAAGAATGTCTTTGTAACTTATGTATTTTCATATTGGAATGTCACAAGCCAAACTCAACTATTTTCTTGTATTATTGTTATTAACATGACAATAGATAATTTCACACATCATTTTCTTGACCAGTCAATCATGATATAATTACCTGAAGACAGCTATAAGAAACTTAGGTGCCAGTAGAGAAGGCTCTTCATCCACAGACCAAAATAATTATTATTACTATTTTTAATATACTGAAAGGCACTTAGTGGAATCAGGAGGTAAACTTGAAGGTTAATCGTTTTGTTACGAAAAATGAATAGCAGGTTGTGTTAAATCAGACATTGTCTCACTCACCCCAAAAACTGGTTTGAGATTTCTTTTGCATGAAGTTCATGTTAATGCCACCAGGTGGCAATAGAACTTTGGTTTATTCTGCCAACCAGTATGAGACTATAGAGTCAGAACATTAAGCTGGTCTGAGCAGCTACTGCGAATATAACAAAACACAGTGTACTGATTATTGTTCCTCTCTCACTAGACTGTTCTGAAATTCCATTTTGTCATTATTTCTTACTTTTTTCTGTTTGAAATTGAAAAAATTTAAAAAAACATTAAGACCAACTCCCAACCCCCACCACTTAGGCCAAGACTGTTGATGGAAATAATGTATTAATGAAATTTCATGATTGAACCAATATGAAGTTTCAAAATAAATCTCCACTTGAAAAAAGATTTGAAGAATGAAAGGCACCAATTATTGGGGCTGGTTAATTGGCTCTTTATTTAAGGCGAGGTTTTGTGTGCTGTTCCATTTGTTACCATCTTCCCCATCTTCCTGTTCCTACATGACTCAGAAGAACCCTGCTGAAATTCCCCCAGTAAATCCTGCCCCCTTATTGCAGTCCTCGATACTGGATTAATTCCCCCGATTTTGTGCATCTCCCCTCAAAACCGGCATCAAGATTGGCTTCTGACTTGTCTTCTTATGATAACAAAATACAACTGTTTAACAACCTGGAAGCCTCCAGAATGAATCAGAGGCAACTTAAAATGAGTAACTATGATGCAACAGATTAGGGGGACTAGAAGAGCAGAAAATTTAAAAGTAATGCTAGAGATAAGGTTACAAATACCATAAATATTTCTTAGAATAGTGAAAAGTTTGAAACAATGTTATATCTCTATACAGAAGAATGATTAAGTAAGTTATGATTTATCCTTATTGTACAGTACTATGGCAGCTGACATTAAGAATGACACTCAGCTGTGTATAGTAAAATATAAGACTGCAATGGAAACAGGTATATGTTACAGAACAGACAGTGTTCCATTTTTGTTAATATTGTGTACATATACATTTTATACAGTCCGGAAGCACAAAAAGCACTTGACGTACATAACTGTCAATAGTTTCATACTGGTTCTAGTGCAGGAAGTGGAATTCACTTGTTTGGTGACATCCTAAGTAAAGACACAAGCACAAACACTGCATGAGATTCTCAGTGTCCATACAGAAAACCAAGAGAAGACCGGCCATCTTTGTCCTTGAAGGAACAACAAAAATTATGAGGTGTTTTCAATGGTGTCCTAGCAAGCCCATGGCACGATTTTGTGTAAATTCCTGTGAAGAAATTCTGTGAGACTCCAAAAGGTGTCAGTTAAAATGCAATTTTTTGAAAGTCTAATTTGGTCTAAGGGTAAATTTTAGACCATGAATAGGAGAGGTGTGATCACATGTTCTTTAGTCACCCATGACTTGGAACTTTCACTTATTCTCTTTGATATTTTTCAACTATCCCACATCCTGATGTACATAGAAAATGAAACTATTACCAGTGTAATGTGTACTAGGGCATTGCCTATAGAGTGAACAGATTGTTGCTGGGCTTTAGGTGCCCCAAAGCCCCTGGACCCCCACCCCATCCAGTGCTACAGAGGCCCCCATCTTTGCTGATCTGGAATTCTTTTTCATTGGTAAGCGTTTGCAGTGTGTAATAATTGCATTCATTTTAGAAAACTGGTATATATACATACTGTATCCTGATCAGTTGTGATACAGTTTCTTTAGTTCTGTGCTCCATACAGAAGCTCAGATTCTGATGTGTGAGATTTTTTTCAAGATTCTATGTTTCATTTAAATGTCTATAACCCACTTTTTCTATAGATGACAGGCTGTATATAGTTATGGAACTTATCGAAGGAGCACCACTCGGAGAACACTTCAGTTCTTTGAAGGAAAAACAGCACCATTTCACTGAAGAAAGACTGTGGAAAATATTTATACAGGTATATTTTGCTTTTAAAGCCTTCATAATACAGTAAAGTTCTGCCCCCATTTCTCAGAGGCACATAGTGATCACCATTGGTTATATGCGTATTGGGGGAAATAAAATGCGTTTCTTGTTCTTCTTTCAAGTTGTGCTTGGCTCTTCGGTACTTACACAAGGAAAAGAGGATTGTCCATAGGGATCTGACACCAAACAACATTATGCTGGGGGACAAGGACAAAGTGACCATTAGTAAGTAGAAAAACCTTAAGCTTTTAAACAGAGAATTCCTGAGTGTTATTCTAGAATAGGATATTATGTTGGGAAAAAAGGACAAAGTAACAGTTATGAAACAAGTGTAACAATCTTAATTTTTTTACTAAGGAATTTGTGTGTATAATTTTAGAGGAGATTATTCTTCTGGAGTAGTAGGGTCCAGTAGAGTTTTGGGCACGGATGGAACTTTCTTATTTTGCTGTCCAGTGTAGAGCCACCGGTCACATGTTACTGTTGGGCACTTAGAAGGTGGCTATTGTGATGGATGAAACATACTTTACATTTTATTAAATTTTAATCACTTATCTGTGTGTGAATGGTGGCTACCATTTTGATTAGTGACTTACAGTTTGAAATGATTGAGCTGGATTTTGCTTATAGGAGGAAATAAAGTACTCGTAGGGAAGAAATTGATGGTGTCTAGCTCGTTTTGTTTCTTTAGAGCAGTGCTTCTTCAACAAAAGCTTTTTATGATCATCCTGTGATCATCCTGTGAACGGTTGAAACCTTATTAACATAGTCTTTGTCTTATGAACATATTGAGAGCTATAAAATCTACCATTTGTATATTTTAACAGTTTTCTTCTTCTTTTTTTTTTAATTGGTACTAGGGAGTGAACTCACGACTACCTGCTTGCAAGGCAGGTGCTTATGCCGCTGAGCTAAATCCCCAGCCCTTCTTTTGTTTTTTTTGTGGTACTAGGGATTGAACTCACGACCTCGTGCTTGCCAGGCAGGCGCTTTATGCTGCTGAGCTAAATCCCCAGCCCTCAACATGTATTTTTAATCATAATATTTTCACTTGTAACAAACTATATCCAACAAATCATGTTGGATACAATTTTAGAAATGCGTAGATTTCCCCCTCATATCTGTCTAATCGTCAATCACAACTTAAAGAAATTTAGAATGCTATATTAACTTCTTCCTGATTTGTTCACTTGTGAACATGTGTGTTACGCTCATGGAGTATACAGGCAGGGACAAATCTCCTAAGTCTGTGGTCTCCAAATAGTTTTGATGTTGACTTCCATTCAGTGAAGTTTCTTTTTGAAAATACACTGCCAATATATGTTGACTTATCTATACATTCTATACATATATTGTTGTACAAAGATTCTATGGTGTATAACAAACTCTACAGAAATAAACTATAAAGGGGTGAATTTAAAAATAAAATAAAGGTTTTAATGTCCACTGAGCAGTAGTTTGCCTTAGGTGCCCGGTTTGGAGAACCTCACTGTTTATTGATGTGAAAGATAAGTGACAACATCTAAAACTGGTTCCTCTACCCTTAGAAAAAACTAGTTTTCATGGAGGTAATTTTGAATGTGTACATTTACCAGGACCATATGCCTTCATGAATGACAAAAATTTTTTTGAATTCTAAAAAGACCTTTTTCATGTATTTTATTTTCCATTGTGACTTTTTAAAAAATTTCTGGTTGTTTCCCATCTACCAAACTGCCAACACAGAGTGTAGACATTGTTCTGCAATTTTCACGTGTGCCCTTTCTGATTGGAGTCTATATCTTACATCCTATGTTTTTCTGCTTTTTGTTTTTTTGTTTAAATCCCTATTTTACTGAAGTGTATCTCCCAGTGCTTTCCTGGGAATGACCGCTTTGAGATTCATAGTCTTTGGATCCTTCATACCACAAACTATTTTTATGATGTCCTCATGTTTGACGCTTGTACTCAGACAAGCCCTAAGTTATTCTTCTACGTTTTGAAGGCATTCCTTTGTCTCCCAGTGTCCAGTTTTGCTGTTAGGGAACCCGGTGTGATTCTAGTTGTGTTCATGCTTGTTATGTGAGCTGTTCTGTCTTTCCAGAAGCCTGCAGGCTGCTGCCTTCACCCACTGTTTTGTGTGGGTCTTTTTAGTTAATGTGTCTGGAGCTAGGAGCCCTATTCAGTTTGGACACTTCAGGCTTCAATCCTGGGAACGTGTCCTGTGTATTTTTTGCTTTTTTTTTTCCTGGCTGCTTTCTCTGTTTCACTTTCTAGAATTCTTATTAGTCTTAGATATAGTATATACTAAGTAATCTCCTGACTAAAAAGTAGTCCTATTAATTTGTATCTCTTCGTTGTACTTAGTATTATTTCTTTTTTTTTTTAATTTTATTTAAGGAGAAAAGAAAAAAAAAAGCAGGGAAAGGGTACAAGTTATACAGATTTACAGATAAAAAAATGAACAGTAGGAAATCACTAGTTAATGGATTACATATTGTCGTCTTAGAAATAATTGTTCAAGTCACAAAATTAAAGCTTGTAAAGTGGACATTCCATCAATGATACTGCAAACAGTTCTGTTCATTGATCCAATAAAACTCTGTGATATCATTTTCTATCTTATACACTTAAATATACATGCAGTTATATAGTTTGGAGCACTTTCTTTTCCTCTCTTTTGTACCATGACTATTACACATTTTGGGTTTCATTGCTCCCACGGTTCTTATTACTTTTTTGGAAGAGAGTAAAACCAAATGTGACATAACAGAACAGAATCGGTCAAGTCAAAAGGGTGGACATAATAGATAATGTAAAAACATAATACAAGGTGATCAACAATGGTTACCATAATGCCTCCCGCTATCTCTAATAGAATTGCCTATATCGTTAGTTATAATACAATTGAACAAAACAGTAAAGAATAAAACTGACAAAACCAAAACATTGGAGACATTGTAGGTCTTCAAAAGTAGATAAAAGTCAACAAGAATGGGCGTCATAATGAATCTCATCTTCACAGCTGATGCCTAAACTTTCGAACCTGATATTATCCAGCAAAACAGAATAGGGGAACATCATTTAAAAACCAGATGGTGAGAGTAATACAGGGCTTTAAATCAAGGTAATGAAAAGTCAAAGTGGGTTACTATAATATATCCTGCTATTTTTTTCCTTTAATTAAAAGGATAAAGATAAAAAAGTAAATAATGGAGTGGAGATTGAGATAAGAGAGGGCATAACAACGAAACAGTGCAGATCAAAACATAACCATTTAAGCAGAATAGTGTTTCACCACCAGATAATCCTAACCTAAAAGTAGTTACCATATTGTCTCTTTCTTTGAAATCCTTGAGTACAACTTCGTATACTGTGGCATTAAGTATATCAAAACAATGTAAAACCATTCAAGAGAATGACAGCATTACAGAGTATTTAGAATCGACTAACAGAAAATGAACAATGGTTTCTGTATAATCTCCATGTCTTTAAAAGGTTTTTGCTTATACTATCGTACATAATAAAATCCAATAAGATACAGCCTATTTAGACCATTGGAGACAGAAGGACAAAAGCTAGATGAGACTTCAAAACAAGATGATACTAAATCAGTATTACCTATTAAGATGTCATTTTCTCCAAAATAGCTGTTCCTATCATCCAATCTTCTCTGCCTCATTTCTGTTGAGCTCTTTTTCTGTCAGTAGCTGTCAGTTTGTCTTCTTCATTTTGTTCTCTGCTCCATTCGTTGTGGCCTCTCTGCCATTATTTCTGGATTCTTTGTATTTTTCTTTTTTTAGAATATCCTGCAATACTCTCTGTAGAGTTGAATTGGTGGTTGCAAATTCCCCCAGTTCCTTTTTATCCTGGAAGCACCTCGTTTTTCCGTCAATTTCCAGGGACAGTTGTGCAGGATATCTCAATCTTGGCTGGAGATTATTATCTTTCAAAGCTTGAATTATTTCCCCCCACGCTCTTCGTGATTTGATGGTTTGTGCAGAGAAATCTGCTGTAATTCTGATGGGTGTTCCCTTGTAAGTGGTCTGAGACGTTTCTTGTCTCTTACAACTTTTAATATTCTGTTCTTGTATTGAATTTCTGGAATTTTTATTATTATATGCCTGGGTGTTGCTCTGTTTGGGTTGTAGGTAGCTGGGGTCCTGTATGCCTCATACATCTGAGTATCTTTACCTTTTGCTAAATTAGGAAAATTCTCCTGGATTATTTCTGTGAGTAGCTTTTGTAGTTCATTTGTTTGTGTCCCTACTTCTTCTTTTATGTTCTTAATCCTTAAGTTATGGCTCCTCTTATCATCTTCTTGTCTTTGTATTATTGCTGTTTGTTTCTTTGTTATTTTTAAGAAGTTTTTCATTTCATTCTCCCATATTACAAGTCTGCCCTCCAGTTCAGATAGTCTGTCCTTAGTTTCTTTCAAGCTGTTATGCCAGTCTTCGATAGACTTCTTAGTATCTTGGTAGTCCCTTTGAACCTGCTTCACGTATTCTATGCTTTCTCTGTTTTCTCCATCAAACAATTCTCCCCTTTTTTTCTGTTCTTCCATTCCACCACCTGTTTTTTCTTGGGTGGTGCTTAGCATTTCTCTAACTATTCTGCATACTTCTAGCTTCAGGTCATTGATAACTTCATTCCTGAATTGGTCTATGAGGCTCTCTATATGGTGCCTTATGTGTATTGGTGTGGTGTCTGCTCTTGCCTGTTTCTCAGAATTGGGGGCCGAGGAGCCTTTCTTGTTGCTGCCTCTTCCCATGCTGCCTCTTCTTCTCTGTTCCTTATATATGCAAGCTTATATAAGAGGCCCAGCTTCTCTCCCAGTCAGCCACAGCCTGATCGAATTGCGCCAGCTAGGTGTTCCCGCTCACCGCTGCGCACCAGGGAGTTACGGACCAGGCAGCCTACGCGTCTCCCCTCCCGGCCACCGTCAGGCTCTGGGATCTGGGTTAGGCCAGCCTACCAGGTCCGCCGGCAGCGTCACGCAGGCCAGGCACTTTTCACCAATCCTGCCCGAGAGGGGAATGTGTGGCTGGAGTCGCCACCACACCCTGCTCCCGTAGGACTGCTCGGGCCCAGAAAGTCCTCTGCTGGAGTCAAACTGTGGTAGAGTGTCAGTTTCTCTCACTCACCTCACCACAAGTCAGTGCACGCCTCCCTGCCGTTCGCAGATTGCCATTCTCAGAGCTTCTGCGCGTCTCTCTCCTTGCCGAGCCGCTGTGGAGGCAGCCAGC